GCCCCTGCCGCCCCGGCCCCGCCCCACCAGGCGCCTGGACGGGGCCTTCTCCCTGACCCCACAGGCTGCGGGGGAACCCAGCCCCCCTAAGCTGGCTCTTCCCCGCTGTGGCAGGGTCTTTCCTACACCAAACTATTCAGGCCCCACTGAATCCTCTTACGAACTAGGCTGGCCTTTGGTTGAAAGTCTGCTTTTGAGAATGCATGAAATCTGGTAGGGGAGGGGGGCTGTGAGGAGAGGAGGGTGAGGGAGGGGGTCTAAACAGGATTACCGTTAGTTGTATAAGATGCACAAAACTCAATAAAAAATATATTAAAAATTGTCTTTGTTTTGTATTTTAGGTTTTGCTTTGTAACCCTGGGTAGCCTGGAACTCACTATGTAGACCAGGCTGGCCTAGAACTCGCTGTAATCCTCCTGCCTCTGAAGTTTCTTTTTAGTTACTTCCCACCCACTATGCACACCCCTTGTACTGTCTCACTTCTTGTACATTATCAGATTGAGCCCAGTTCTATACTGACTTCCTTACCCCTACTGCAATAGCATTTTTCTGAATAGAATCTGACTTTCAACAACTGCAGTTCAACTCTAGTCTCTAAACCCACTAAGACTCTATCACACTCTGGAAAGTCAGCTGCTCCTTTCTCCCACTTTGAAACAAGTGACTTGCAGTGAGCTAGTCCTGAACTTTCATCTTCCCTAAGGAAAATAACAACCAGATAGTTTTCGTGAAACAGGAGGTTTACAAGGTGTCTTATTAACAATGCCCAGCGCATTAGAAAGAACTGCTCTTTGTGTGTGCGTTTTTCTATACTTTTTTTTTTTTTTTTTTGAGTAGCTTTAGGTTTACAGGAAAACTGAGCTAGAAATACAGAATTCCCATCACCTCCCCAGACCCCAAGTCTCTCTACTCATCTTAAGAAAGAAATGGGAAACAAAAATCTCTCACCACAGGAGTAGTTTTACAAGCACAGCATCTCTACTATTAGAGGCCATGGTGGAGAACCCAGTAGGAACTCAACAATCAAGAAGGTGCCCCACAGACATGGCCACAGGCCAGCCCAATAGTGGCAATTCCCCAATTGAGGCTCCCTCAACTCAGGTGTGTCAAGTTGACACTAAAGCTATCCAGCACAGCATGCATGTATGCTAGTGCACCTGTGTATGCAATGCCTGTGGCAAGCAGAAGACAGCATCAGACACCCTGGAACTGGAGTTATGGACTGTTAGCTGCCATTTGGTGGTGGGAACTGAACCCGGGTCCCCTGCAAGAGCAGTCAGAGCTCTTAACCACTGAGCCATTGCTCCAGCCCCACTATTTTTTAAAAATTTTTATTATTTTATATGTATGAATGTTTTGCATGCATGTAAGATACTTCGTCATTTTTAAGGAGCTCATTAGTATTAAGAATCAGCACATGTTGTATAACCAACCTCCACAATTACATCCCTAAGTTTTGGGATGTTTGGTCATTGAGTAAGAACTAAGCAAGAGGCCAGCAAGATGGCTCAGAGGGTAAGGGTGCTTGCTGAACAAGCCTGGTGACTCGAGTTCAATCCCTGGAACCTGTATAAAGGTGGCTGGAGAAAACCAACTCCACAAGTTATCCTATGACTGCCATGTGCACTCTGTGGCACATGCATGTGCACACACACACAATAATAAATTTTTAAAATTTTATAAATGGACATAAGAGTAGCACTGTCTTTGGTAAACAGTTCAAGTCATCTATATAAAATCATTACTAGTTTGCTTCTTCTAACTCCGAATATAACTCCTGGGTCCTCTGCCATCAGTGCTCCAAAAGTCCTGCTTTCATGACAAAGTTCTGTCTTTGACATTTCTCACTCAAATGAACACAACCCAGTTTCCGATGGAGCTTCCTCCCCCCCAGAACAAAATTCTAAATTACCCCCTTCCCTACCAGCCTTGCTGGCTTCTGTGTCATCCCACATACAACTGCTCCTCAATTCCCTGGGTAGACACCACCACCCTTTAACTCAATTCTAATGCTTCAAAGTTCTTCTGTTGATTTCTGAAACTTTTAAGTATTTCCAGATTACTAAGCTGCCCTGACATCAGGCTTTATTTTATTTGTTTATGTTATTGTTGGGGAACCCTGCTGTTAGGGTTGTAGTCCTCCATGTCCGGATAGCTCTAAGGGGCTCGGCGCCATAGGGAAGGACTCCCCTTCTCAGCAGGGGGTCTCCTGCTCTCTTCCCCGACTTACCTGGAAAGTGCCACCAAGCAAGGATGCCTGACCTTATTTGGAACATGACCTTTGGCATAGTTACCTGGAGTAAAAACTACCCCCAGGTTTTTTCTATATGATAATCAGGCATTGCCCGGTAGTCCTACGATAGGAGCCCACTGCCACATGTAAATAAAGCACACTATGAGCACCTATCAGCTGAGGCATTGGCTGCTGCCTCCACACTATATTTTCCCTAGTTCACCCACTGAATAAACGGAGCTGTTTCACTGAGTCTGGAGCTGTTTGCATCATTGAACCTGCCTCCCCAGAAGGGCTTTCTTCCGACTGGCCATCCTGACCCCGCTCGTCGCTCCTGCTCCCTTTGTCCTCGTGGACCAGTGGCCAACGACCCATGAGGAGAGGGAGCAACCCCACATGTTATTGTTTTTCCATTCTTTTCAGGTTACTTTAAAAAATATTTATCACATTTTGGGGGGGGGGCACATGTGTCAAGGTCAGAGGACAACTTGGAGTCTGTTCTCTCCTTCTGCTGTGTGGATCCCACCTTCATCTGTTGAACCACCTCACCAGGCCCATAGCAGGTTACTCTGTAGTCCCTAAGTCACCCTACTTCTGAATGCCTCTAACAGGTTAGGATAGGCATTTGTGTCCAACTGTTAGCTGGCTCTGGACAGTCTGCTGTCTAATGTGCCTCTGTGATCCATGACCATCAGGATGAGCAGCATAGTAAGGTAAAGAGAGCTCTGGAGTCAGACTAAGAGTCAAAACCCAAGCTGCCACCTCATAGCTATGGAACCTTAGGCAATTCGCTGATCTCTGAGCTTACTTCCCCATCTATTAACCAAGCAAAGAACAACTCCTCAAAGGGTGACTGGATGATTACATAATAATAGATGTGGGTGTTTAAAATAGTGTTTGCCATATACTAAGAGCTAAACAATCGTTAGCCAATTATGATGGCACCCTCTGACTGAAAGTATCTTGCTTTCCAAAGTTTCTCAGCAAGGTGCCATGGAAGAAGGTCCTGTCATGGCAGAGAACTGGAGTGACCACAGTGCTAACAAAGCCCACAGAGTGTTATTCTGATAACAAAATCAGGCAAAGACAACAAAAACAGAAAATTATAGTCTAATTTCTTTGATGAACACGGATGCAAAAATTCTCAAATACTTGCAAACCGAATTTAGAAGCACATTAAGATCATACATTATGAACAGGTAGGCTTCCTGGTCATCCTGCAGAGGCAAGGTTGGGTCAACATATGTAAACCAATAAATATACCATATAAATACACTGAAGGGTAAAAGGCACATAATCATCTCAATTGATGCCGAAAAGGCATCTGACCAAGTTCAGCATGCCTTCATGATAAAAGTCCTAGAGAGTTAGGAATAGATGCAGCGTGCCTCCTAATGAGCCGGCGATGTATAACAAACCTAGTCTACATTATACTAAATGGAGACAAACTGTATTTCCTCTAAAATCAGGAGTCAGACAAGGACTTTCCACTCTCTTATTCAAGATAGTGCTCAAAGTCTTAGCTACAGCAAGTAGACAAGACAAAAGACGATAAAAATAAGAAAGGAAGAAGCCAACCGACCCTTAACTGCAGGTGACATGACTGTATACTTAAGATCCTATAGAATCTGCTATGAAACTCAAGTTTAATAAACACAGTAAAGTTATGTTTTCGAGACAGGGTCTCACCATGAAGCCCTGGCTGGCCTGGAACTCGCTATGTAGACCAGGGTGGCCTCAAACTCCCAAAGATCCACCTGACTCTTCCTCCTGAGTGCTGGGAATGAAGGTGTGTTCCACCATGTCCAGCCTTAAAGTTGCATCTTTACTTTTTCTTAATATTTTATTCATTATTTTTATTTTCTGTGTATGAGTGTATTACCTGCATATGCACCCTTCAGATGAGGGCATCAGATTCCCCTGGAACTGGGGTTATAGAAGGTGCTGGGGACTGAACTCTGGTCCTCTGCAAGAGTAGCTGGTGCCCTTAACCGCTGAGTCATCTCTTCAGCCCCAAAGTTACATTTTTAATCAGGCTTGATGGCTCATACCTGCAATACCAGCACTCAGGAGGCTCAGACAGGTAGATGAGTTCAAAGTCAGTCTGAAACAAACTGAGTTCCAGATCAGCCTAGACTACAAATTGAGACCTTGCCTAAAAAAAGAAAGGAAACAAAGGGTCAAAAAGCATTTAAAAAAAAATATTTTATTTATTATTTTTATTTTTCTTATGTGTATGCATGTATTGCCTACATGTATATAAGTGCACCCGTGTCATGCAATGCCTGCGGAAGACAGAAGAGACTGTCGGATACCCTTGAAACTGGGGTTATGAACAATTGTTAGCTGCCATGTGGTTGCTGGGATTCGAACCCAGGACTTCTGCAAGAATATTAAGTTAATGCAATCTTAAGGTATATGAATTAGAAATGACAGAATCTGTAAGAAAAGAGTTTAGGAGCTGGAGAGATGGCTCAGCAGTTAAGAACTCTGACTATTCTTGCTGGGTTCAAATCCCAGCACCCACATGGCAGCTAACAACTGTCTGTAACTCCAGTCCCAGGGGATCCAACAGCCTCTTCTGACCTCTGCAGGCATTGCACGACACGGGTGCACTTACCTACATGCAGGCAATACACAATACACACATACACATAAAAATAATAAAATATTTAAAAAAAAGTTTAAAGTACGTGCAGTTATGGAAACCAAACTTTAACGAGAAAGACCAGGTTAGTGCGTGGTCTAGGCAGGGCGTCAGACCACCTTTAACTAAAGAACATCTGGCTTTCTGTCAGCACTCTTAGAGAATTTCAGTTTTCTGATACCACAAGGTCTATATTCCAAAACAAAGATTAGCCACCTGTCAGCTCTGAAAGTAGAACAAAGGGTGCACATTCATTCAGCTCATGCTAAGATGCTTTCTAAAAGTCTGACCTTCCTGGACTCAGAAGGCAGTGTATTCACCACAGTGTCTGAGGTAGAAAAATTACCTATCACAGAAGATGTCAAGAGACCAAACAATGTGGATTATGAAACAGATTCTTTACCTTAGGTCACAAATCCCTGCAAGAGCCAGACAACAGTGAATACTTCTCCTAAGTGCACACATGCACAGTAACAAACACAGGCTGCCTACCCTTATCTGAAATGCTTGGGACCAGAAGTACATGAATGAGGTATCCTGCGATGGGACCCAAGTCCAAACACGCATATGTCCCCACACATACCTTATACACATAGCCCATGGCTAATTTTCAACAATACTTCTAGTGTATCTGCATTTGAATACCTCTTACATGTGTACATGAGGTCAGGTGTGGAAATGTCCAATTACGGCATCATGTCAGCACTTGGAGAAATTTTATTAATACTGAGTTAGGGACTGGAGAGACAGCTTAGTGGCTAAGAGCACCTTGCTTCTCTGAAGACCAGAGTCCAATGCCCAGCACCCACGTGTGACTGCTGCTCCCGGAGACAGCTTCCTCCGGTGTTCTTGGGCACCCACACACGCGTGGCATACACATAAATAAAAATATACTTAAAAGAGTATGGAGTTAAATAAATATTTACTCATACAAGGCACGGAAACATTTAGAAGCTGCATTTCCTTTAGATAACCCTCAAAAGACCAAACTCACATTCTAGCCAAGAACTGACTTTCCTCCTCCCCCTTATAAATTTCCTTATGACATTTCCCACCATTCTAGTTTGCTTTCTGTTGCTATGACACACTATAACAAAAGGTTTATTTGGTCACATTTCCAGGTCACAGCCATCACTGAGGGAAGCCAGGACGGGAGCTCAAGCAGGTACGTTTACCCGCCTGGGGGATGCTGCCACCATAGTGGCCTAAGTCCTCCTACATCAATTAGCAGACAAGAAAATGTCCCCACAGGCTTGCCCAAGGCTAACACAATGGAGGAAATTCCTCAACTGAGAGTCCCTCTTGCTAGGTGTGTCAAGTTGATAAATACATTCTGCCACATTCAGGTAAAGTTACCTGGTTTAAAAGGCTAGAAGCTTCAAGGGCAGCTTGGCTCACTAACTTATCTGCACAGGGATTGACAAACTAAGGCACTAAAGACATCACATGATTCCTATTTTCAAACAGCCTAAAATCCCAGAATCAAACAGACTGACAAGTGTGAATACTCTCCCCTCCAAATGTACTCTCTGAGTGTCTTATCTGGGCACCATTCTGCTATCAATGCTGTATACCGGTACATCAGAGCCCCTAGCACAAGCAAGTGTTCCCTATCCATCTGACAGAGTTGGCACTGGCTGGGTGAGGATTCTGGGTTATGAGATAAAGGCAAAAACATCTATTTTCTGATGGACAAGGGTTTTAATAAAGCACACCAATTAAGAGTAGTTTAAAGTAAGACAATGTTAGTGATGTTTCCAATGTAGGAAAAGAACCAAAAGCTTTTGATGTAACCCACTAGTTAACTGAACATCTATTCATACAATTACATCATTTGGTTAGAATATTTTTCTAAGCATTTCATTTAGAGGATCCAGGTATGGGCTGTATGGAACATAAATAAACCAAGTCTGTCTTCCAGCAACTAACAGTAAGTAAATTTGGAAGGTTATGTATGCGTTATGCAAAACTTAGTATAAGCACCGATGAGTGAGCTGGCAACTGTAGGAGGGTGAGAAGGGGCTGGAAGAGTGAATAAGTATGCCTTGCAGAGAAAACTCGCACTTGGTAACTGCAGGGCTCTCCGGCGTCCTCTCCCAATCCACCCGTCTACTCTCCATTTGGGAATGCACAGAGAAACCTCAGGTGAGGGAGGACCGAGTGCGCAGCCAAGTACCTGCCAAGCCAGCACAGGCACCAGCACCGGCATAGGCGTTGGGGCGCAGGGTGGGGACCAGGCGGCCAGGCAGGGCTGGAGTGCAGCCTGGCGGGGCCGTGAGCCCGTCTCGGAAGGAGCCAGAGGCGTGTGGGGCGCTGGGCTCCCTGGAGCTGGGCACCTGGAGCCCGGGGTGGGCTGCGCACCGCCCGGGAGGATGCAGGATGCTCCGCCTACCTGGTCCATCTGCGGGATGAACTTGCGCCGGCCCCGGATGCGGAACAGAAGCAGGTTGTAGAGCTCCTCCGGGTGCCCCAAGCACTTGACGAACTCCATGACGGCGGCAGGGGGTCGGGGCTACGCTCCGAGACGCGCGGGCTCCCCTCCCGCAGTGGTTCCCACCCGCCGGCGTTTAGAAGCGGCTGGAGGCGGTGCGCTTGACCGGCCGGGCGAGGAGGCGGGGCCAGCGCCAAATGCCCCGCCCACCTCCCCCTTCAGCGCGGACTCCAAGCGAGCGAGTGGACTGACGGCTGCCGATTGGCCAGCGATGCTCGTACCAGGGATACGCGGGCCAATGGGCGGCCGTAGCCGCCTGGCGCGATGACCACACCCTAAAAGCTGATTGGAGGACCAGAAAGAGGCCAGCGAGTGCCATTGGTGCCTGCGGGGGTGGGGGGGGCTTTGTTTGCTGCTGCGCTTAGGAGGCGGGGAGGGGGTGCCGCGCATGCGTGGAGGTTCCCGAGCGCTGAAGCAGGCTCCTACCCACAGTGCACCCGAGAACCCCCGGGGCTCTGTCAGCGTTTCCCGCCGAGAAGTCTGGGGACCCGGGGTTCGAGCCTCAGGACCCATACGGTGGGAAGAGAAAACTGATTCCTGCAAGTTGCCCTGTGATCGTGGAACGTGAGCCCCCTCCCACACACAAAATAAATGCAATATATATATATATGGAATATGTATACATAATACATGCATATTCCACATATACATATATTCCGTGTACATATTCTATATATACATACGTGTTCCATGTACATATTCTATATATACATACATGCTCCATATATTCTATATATACATATATTCCATATATACATAATATGTGCGTGGTTTTTTTGGGTTTTTTTGTTTGTTTGTTTGTTTGTTTGTTTGTTTTTTTTTTTTTTGTGTGTGTGTGTGTGTGTGTGTGTGTGTGTGTGTGTGTGTATCTGAGACTGCCGGGTAAAAGATTTCGGGAATGGGAAGAAAGCGGGTTTTGGAATTGGGACGGTCAGGTGGTGGGTTCTAGCTGGGGACAATGGTCTGCGGCCCATTTAGAACATAAGGTTCAGAATCAGCTGGTACCTGAAATTCTGGATCCTTCGGGTTCTACAGTGTTCCAAAGATTGGCAGAGAAAATAGGTTTCATGGTAAAATCAGGCTTGGAAACAGCGTTGCTGTGGAGACGATTTCCTGATAAGCTCCAAGGTTTCTCACATTTATCTTTCCCACCATCGGAGGAGCATCATATTGCTGATCTTGAATCCTGTTTTCAAAGGTGCTGGAACAGAGGGAACTGGGGTACAGCTGTGGTACTCCACAGAGAGGGCTGGGATGTAGAAAATAAAAAGTGGGCGACTGTAAGATCTGCACAAGATTGTGTTCGGTCACCCTTTTCTCGTGGAGTGGGAGGGACGCACATGAGGCTCCACCGGTCCATGAGGATTTATAGGCAGCTCAAGGTCTTAGGGAGTTGGGGCTCCCTCCATGACCATCTATGGGCAGTAAATGGTTGTTAGATTTCTCTACTAGCTTTCTAAAAATGTTTCTGTTAGCACATATTAATTATACATGATTTATTATGACATTTTCATAGGAGTATTGTATTTCGATCATATCCCCCCACCCTCAATGTACCTCCCACTCCTGTTAACCCCAACCAGCCCCCATGCTTTTTTAAATATACACTTTATTGAATTTTTGTGCATTTCATACATCTTGATCATATTTAGACCCCTTATTGAAGGGCCCTTATCTGCACCTTACATAGCTGCCCCTTTCTTGGTATGTGTGACTCATTGAGGGATTTTCTTCAGTGGTGTGACCATTGGTAAGTTGCCCACACTCCTTGAAGTTAACCCTAAATAAACTCAATCATTTCACACACACACACACACAAAGACATGAAAGTATAATGGCAGAAGGGCACAAGAAAGGGTTAGGAGGTGAATATGATCAAAATGCATTATATAGATTCATGGAAATGTCCTGATGAAACCCCATTGCCTACAGTTAAAATATATGCTGATGAAAACTTTTTTTAAAAAGTGTGTGCCTCTTAAGATCCCTCCAGAACTCCTGTTGAAACCTTAGCCCACAATGTGATGTTATCTGGAGATGAGCATTTGGGAGGGATCAGGTATAAATGAGGTCATGAGGGTTAGGTCACAGGATGAGCCCATGATGGGATTGCTGTCCTGGTGAGAGCATCAGGAGGGCAGCACACAAACACACACACTGTGAGGCCACAGTGAAGCACCATCTATAAGCCAGAAAAGGGCCATCATCGAGCTGTCATCAGGCTGTCATAGGGTGACTGAACTGCCTTGATCTGACTTCCATCTTGCAGACCTGTGAGCTGTGAAAGGCTACTACTAAAGGATTCCAACTTTGTAGCTTTTTTTTCCTAAGCCTTCCTAAATGTCATGCAGCAGCTAGGAAATCAGCAGCTGAACTTGACCCCACATCCCTGCTCATGGGTCAGGAATCAAAGAGCCTTTAGCAACACTTAGGAGCTCATCTGCTCACGGTCATGTTCTGGAGGGTAGCCTCACAGGTGCCCAGGCAGAGCAAGTCAGACGGCTGGATTCCCTGGGTGCAGTGGGGCCACGCCCACAGCCTGCCATTTCCCCAGGGCACTCATCCAGTGCAGGTTAGGCCTTCTGGGAGGCCACTGTTGATTATCACAAGACCTGCAGAGGGTTCTCACCATTACAGGTGTGCGATGCTCTCCAGTGGAGCGTCAGCTCTGTGAAAACACTTGGCAGCACAGCATCCTGCACTGTGGGACAGCACCTGGCAATCTGCTTCACTGTGATGTAATCGTGCAGGGACATGTCACTGATCTGCATGTCATCCCTGCTCTACACCCCAAAAGCTTGACATCTGAGGTCTCTACTACCACCCATGTAGCTGTCCCGCATTCAGTCATCCTGGAGGCACACTGAGAGAGCACCTCTGGCACAGAGGACAAGCTGGAGTCTTATGGCCGCCAGAAGTGTGGCAGTGACTGGACCTTGTCAACTCTGTGATTTTGTGACCAGGCTGACCTTTGACTCTGGATCCTCCTGCCTTAGCCGCCTGAGTAGCTAGATTATAGGCTTGGGCCACACACTCAGTTTAACTATATGGTCTGAAGTTCTGTAACTTCCCAGTCTTCAGTTAAGAGTAAGTGCCTGGGACTGGAGAGATGGCTCAGTGGTTAAGAACATGTCCTGTGCTTCCAGAGGACCCAAGTTCGGTTCCCTGGACCCTCATCTGTAGCTCACAACTGCTTATAACTCCAAGGACTCATTCTCTTCTGGCCTCCTCCAGCACCTGCACTCATGTGCACATATCCTGATTATATACACGTAATTGAAAATAAATCAGGCTCTGGAGATGGCTCAGTGTAGATAAAGGGCACTTGCCTCCAAACCTTGACTCACATGTAGGGGAGAACTGTCCCAAAAGTTGCCCTCTGCCTCACGTGTGCCTCGGAGCACCCTTCCCCTCAATAAATAAATGTGAATTTAAAAAATAATAAATCTTTTTGAAAATCAGTGCAGTCTCCAGAGGTTATTCTGTAGATTATGCACAAGGGTTAAGCAGTATCTGGAGTAGGAAAGCACACAAGGGAAAGTCCTCACACTAGGTGACACCAGTGTGGGGTAAGCTTCCAGTGAGGGGTGAGCCTCCAGTGTGGGGAGCCTCCAATGTGGGGTGAGCCTTCAATATGGGATGAGCCTTCAATGTGGGGTGAGCCTCCAGTGTGGGGAGCCTCCAGTGTGGGGAGCCTCCAGTGTGGGGTGAGCCTTCAGTGTGGGGTGAGCACTCAGTACCACTCAGCTCATCTAGAGTATCACATGAGTCTGCTATTCAGTAGTAAAAGTAAGCCTAAAACAACTTCCACTGTTTTCAGTGTTTCTCACAAATCACCATCTTCTGCTAGCGGAGATCAACAGACAAGAAGGGCCGTCTCTGCTCACCCCAAGCAGAAGGGCAGGTATGCACTCCCCTCCTGAGACCCTGATCCTAGGAGAGGAGTCATCAGGCCAACCCAGCAAGCCCCTGAGGCCACCATCACAAAGGGTGAAGGCATTTGTGCATTAAGACCTTTGCTAGTCTGGAATGTAGCCAGGCAGCACAGCACTTGCCTAGCACAAGCCCTGGGTTTCATCCCAGCACCACAAAACAGGAAGCCGTTGCTGCCAAATGAAGGTGACAGGAAATAACACAGAGCTTTATTTTCAATCACTGTTCTCGTTCACAGAGGTGCTGCTGACAACCAGATGGGACACCTGAACTGTTCAAACATCAAGTCAAATACTCAGCAGAGGAGTAAACCAGCAGCTTTTCATCACACCACTGGGCACACCTCCCTGTCCACCCTGGAGTCTCCAGACAATGGAAAGCATGGGGCAGGAAGCTGGGCAGCACAACCTTCTTGCGGCTCCGCCCTCATCCTTGGTCCTTCCAGGGAGAAGAGGCAAGAAAACAGAGGACCTTAAATGGACCAGTTTCCAAAACACAGCAAACTACCTGAAAAGTGGCCTGGCAGCCCAGCCCAGCTGTTCCCCACAGGTGCAATCCCTCAGAGCGGGTTTTCCCAGCCCAGTGTGAGGATTTTGACACCTTGGTGAGTGGGATTATATCAAATTAACTGAACTAAACTAAGCATGGTGGTGCACACCTTTAATCCTAGAACTCAGGAGGCAAAGGTAGGTGGACCTCTGTGAGATCAAGACCAGCCTGGTCTACACAGCCCCAGCTGGCCTGGAACTTGCTATCTCAAAAAAACAAAACAAACAAACAAACAAACAAACAAACAAACAAAAAAACCAAAAAACCACAAAAACCCTAACTGAACTAGAAAAGGTAACCATCTACCCTTGTGATGGTTGTGCCTAAGGCATAATCCAGTGATACCTCCAGACTATCCCTAGCCTCTAATCCCATCCCTGCCCACACCCTCCTCTCAGGACACACAGGCATCTGGGTCCCCAAGGCTAAAGTCCCATGGAGAAGGCCAAGCATTTTAGGAGTACTCTTCGGATGGCAGTTGGGGCTGGCATTGCGGGCACCACCAGGTGAGCCTCTGGAATCCACCTGGAGGCCCGAACATCTCCTTCATGACCTGATGCCCTGCAGGGCACTGATCCTTCTGGTAGATCTGTGTGTGCCGTTCCTTGCCCTGGAACTTGTCCCGAAGCCAGTCTACACTGAACTCTACCACGTGATCCACGAGGGCCACCAGACGGGAAGAACTCAGGAGTGAACCCAGAGAGAGGGGATGGATCCCTGCTCTGTACAAGGCTTCATTCTTGATGATGTTCCCTGAAAACAAAGCAGAGAGAAGATGAAGGCAGGAAAGACATTCCACGTTGGAACCACCCAGAAGTAAACAGAGCAACTGGATTAGTGTGACAGCAGCAGGATGCGTTAGGCAGACCTGACAACAGCCACAAGCTAGACTTCTGCGGGCCCCTCTCAGGGCTGACTCAGCCCTTGCTTACTGGAAGGCTGTTGTGCAGAGTGTAACACAGGCTGTAACGAAGGCCCTATCCCTGACTGAATTTGAATTTCACCTCAACCACGTCCTCCTATGAGGCCCTTGTGAATTCCTTAGCCTCTCTAAACTTCAGGTTTTGAATCTGTAATATAGGCATCCCTCATGTGATTTGGTTTTTTCTCTTCTGAATTTTTGAGACAGGAGCACCCTGTAGCCCCAGATGGCCTGAAATTCACTATGTAAACCAGGCTGGCCTTGATCTCAGAGAGATCTGCTTGCCTCTGCCTCAGGGAGTGCTGGGACTAAAGGTGTGGACCACCACACCCAGCCCTCATCTGATTCTGATGAACAGTAAACAAAGATTCAAACAATGCTAAGGGTGTGGCTCAGTGACAGAATGCTTGTCTAGGATTGGGCTCATTCTCTAGCATGGAAGAAAAATAGTACCTCATATATAGAATACTCAGTAAGTATAAGTAATCACAACATCAAACACGATGAGTGTTCTATAGAAAGTTTAAGAGGCATTGCTTTTCCTACTCCGGCCTCATTCTCTGAAGTGAGCCTTGACCCCTTCTTCCAGAATCAATACCTTTCTCTCTTCCTAACCTCCATGCAGGGCTTTTTCTAATCTCTGCTAGGTGCTTCACAATGTTTTGTCTTTGTTTTTGGTTTGTTTTTGAGACAGGGTCTCACTATGTAGACCTGGCTAGATAGGAATTTATGTAGACCAGGCTGGCCTCAAATTCAGAGAGATCTCCCTGCTCTGCCACCAAAGTGCTAGGATTAAAGACATGCACCACTATGTCCGTCTCAATCTATTTTTTCCCTTTTTAGTTTTCTGAAACAGGATCTCACTATACACATTAGGCTGGCCTCGAACTCACCACCTGCCTCTGCGTCTCAAGTGCTGGCACTACAGGTGGATGCTACCACCCCTAGCAACAATCTTCGTTGGAGACAAGGTCTTGTGTAATCCAGGTTAGTTAGCCTCAAACTCACTATGTAACTGAGGCTGGTCTTGAACTCCTGATCCTCCTCCCTTCACTCAAGTGGTGGGATCAAGGTGTATGTCACCATGCTGCAGCTTTGTCAACACAGACGGATGGCATCAGCAGTCAGTTGTGGGTAAAAAGAACATCTGCCCACCTGGTACCAAGAACTACATGCCCTCCTGGGCCAGCTAGTTAGCCATTACACATATTCCAAATCTAGCTCTTCTTCCTACCTGGGAATGCTTAGCTTCACCGCTTGAGTCTCCAGAGCAGAGATCTGCTTTTTCTCATGGCTTCTAAGAACCTGGAGCTGACCTGACTCCTGCATAGCTTTTGACAGCAGGAAGCTCCATTGTCCAAGGGTAGCACACACTAGCAGAAGCACTCCTTCCTTTCTCCTAATGACTGGCAGGACTTCTGTTCCCAGAACATCCTAACCCAGGGCCTCCTACATGAATTAGAGGATGCCAGTGTACAGAGATTACCCCTGCCTATTAGAAGGTCACATTCTATAATGTATCACCAAGAGGCTCACAAATGACAGTCCTATCAGGATATGAGTGCTCAGAGAAGTGAGGACCTGCCTAATCCAAAGTCTCAAAACCAACAGTGCAGGCACAACTGGGATGGGAGTCCTCAAGTCTTGTGACTGCTCTACAGATGAGTGACTTTTCCATTAAGCAACTCTGTGAGGCTCCTCCCTGACCCATCGGTCATACCTAACCCTGAGAAGTATCTCTGATCCAAAAGCGTGTAGCACACAGGCTGAGCCCGGCTCAGAGCCTCCAAGGCCTGTCCTCGATGGAACTCTGCAGACAAGATGTCACAGGTGGGCTCAACCACTGGGGGAGGGCTCCAAGACATCTGGCAATTATAAAATGCCAGGAAACCACCACCACCGAAGTGCAGGACCAGCCTGAGAAGACAGAAGAGATCACACATTCAGAGTTTTCACATACAGTCAGATCGCACAGTGCAACTACCACTGTATAATCAATTCACACGTATACAGTGACCACTGTGCAATCAGTACGTGCACACACAGTATACACATGCAAACAATTATCAGTGTACATCATCATTCAAGTAGCACTGTATAATCAGGTCATGTGTACACACAATGGTTATATTACAGGTGTTCTGGTTAGCTTTCTATTGCTGTGTTAAAAACACTGACCAAAAACAACTTGGGGAGGAAAGGATTTGGCTTATAGCACACAGTCCATCATCAAGGGAAGCCAAGGCAGGAACTCAGGGCAGGAGCTGGAGCACAGGCCATGGAGGAATGCTGCTTACTGGCTTGCTCCCCTGGCCTGTGCTCAGCTTGCTTTCTTATACAATACAGAACAACTTGCCCAGGGGTGGCATGACTCACAGAGGGCTGGGCCCTCCCACATCACTCAACAATCAAGAAAATATACCACAGACATGGCCACAGGCCGATCCAATCAAGGAAATTCCTCAGTTGAGGTTCCTTCCACCCAGGTGTGTCAAGCTGACAAGTGAAGCTGTCCAGTACAACAGGTCATATTTACACATGACTACCATTGGACAGATCACACATACATACAGCTTCTACTCTAAAGTCAGGTCATCTGCACATCAACAGTCTGTACGAGTGTTGATCAACCTGGGACACTAAGGTCTCAAAAGAAAAAGGATGACTGTCAGACACCTAAACATCTTGGGAACAAATGGAATAATTTAAATAAAACATCCATATACATTTTTTCTGATTATATTACAGCAATGCATGTTGATTGAAGGAAACCTGGAAATCAGCAAGGTCTAAATTCAGGTGAGTGGCTACTTAGAAAAGGAGATGGGCTCATTAGTAAGGAAGATGAAGGTCCCATTTCAGTCTCAGGCCAGCTGCCCAAGAACACATTCCTACACACACAACCCTGGCCTCTTGGATGCTAAGGGCAGAAAAGAAACCTCACACACTTTGATAAGGAAATAATGGGATACCTTGTAGGGGCAGCTAATCTGACGAGAGCTGTCTCCACTCCAAGACAGAGAACCTGACTCCATGTGTCTCACCTAGTTAGTGGACCAGGGAAGGGCAGAGGCCACTTCAGAAAAGCCAGGAGCTAGGCACTATGGCATACACCTAAAACCCCAGCATTCAAGAGGCTGATACAGGGGGATTAGGAATTCAAGGCCAGCCTAGGCTACACAGGAAGACTCTTGCCCTAGAGTAACCCAGCAATATTTCTTTTAAAAAAAAATTTTTTTTTTTGGTCTTTCTGAGACAGGGTCTCCCTGTAGCCCCAGCTGTCTTGGAACTTACTATGAAGACCAGGCTGGCCTTGAACTCACAGAGATCCACTTGCCTCTGCCTCCCAAGTGCTGGGATTAAAGGCATGCGCTACCACACCTGGCTTTTAAAAATATTTTTAACTTTTAAAATGTATTTATTTTAATTTTACGTATATGACTGTTTTGCCTACACATAAGTGCACCCATGTCATGCAATGCCCATGGAGACCAGAAGAGGGTGTCGGGTCCCTTGGAACTGGAATTATAGATGGTTGTTAGCCACCATGTGGGTGCTGGGAACCAGACACAGGTCCTCTGCAAGAGCAGCTAGTACTCTTAACCACTGAGCCATCTCACCAGTCCCCCTTTTTCTTAAATTTAATTGTCAGAGCTGGTGAGATGATTCAGCCAGTAAAGAAAGGCGCCTACCATCAAGCCTGACAACATGAGTTCGATCTCCAGAGCCTACACGGTAGGAGAAGAACAGCACCTACAAGTTGACCTCTGACCTCCACATACACCATGACACGTGTGCCCACACACATATACGTATACACACTATAAGTAAATGTCATAAAAATATTTTTAAAGGTTGATGTAGCTCAATTCTAGAGCACTTGATTAGCAAAAATCCCTAGCACCACAAAACAGAACAACCCATAAAATTTATAAAACAGAATAATTGTGGGACTCTTAGTAGAGGGGATTTTTTTTTTTAAATTTTATGTGTATGCGTGTATTGCCTGCACATAGGTAAATGCACCTGTGTCACGCAATGCCCGTGGAGGACAGAAGAGGCTGTCAGATCCCCTAGAAATGGAGTTACGGACAGTTGTTAGGTGCCATGTGGGTGCTGAGATTCAAACCCGAGTCTTTTGCAAGAACAGTCAGCGTTCTTAACTGCTGAGCCATCTCTTCAGCCCCTAGAAGGGGAAATCTTTAGTGAGTAGGAAAGTTACAAGTGACTACTGACTACATAAAGTGCAAAAAACTCTCATATGTGGGGCTGGAGAGATGGCTCAGTGGTTAAGAATACTGACTGCTCTTACAGAGGACCTGGGTTTGATTCCCAGTACCCACACAGCGCCTAACAATCGTCCATAACTCCAATTCCAGGGTGACACTGGTGTACTTACACACATGCAGGCAATACACTCATACACATAAAATTTAAAAAGAAAATCTCAAATGCCAAAATGCTTCATTAACACACTCAACGGATACATGCTAGCCTAGAAATAATCCTGCCACCACAGGCTACCAGACTTTGTATCCAAAAGCTTCAAAAGGATTGCTAGTTAGCCCTGGGCTGGTGAGATGACTCAGCAGATAAAAGCACTTGTCATGTGTTTGGTGGCAATGTCTATGAGGCATTTCCTTAATTGCTAATTGATATGGGAGGGCCCAACCCATTGTGGGCAGTGTCACCTCTGGTCACTGCTGGACAGGCTGAGGCTGGGGCATGGTGGTGCACACCTTTAATCCCAGCACTTGGGAGGCAGAGGCAGGCAGATCTCTGTGAGTTCGAGGCCAGCCTGGTTTATGTAGTGAGTTCCAGGTTAGCTGGGGTTACAGGGAGACCTTGTGTCAAAAAGACTCAAAAAAGAAAAGAAAAGAAAAGAAAAGAAAAGAAAAGAAAAAAGCAGGCTAAGCACAGGACAGAACAGTCAGAAAGCAGTGTTCCTCCATGGTCTGTGCTTGAGTTTCTGTCTCTAAGTTCCTGCCTTGAGTTCCAGCCTTGATGATGGACTGTGAATTGCAAGCCAAATAAACCTTTTCCTCCCCAAGTTGGTTTTGGTCAGAGTGTTTTATCACAGCAACAGAAAGTTAACTAAACTGAAGTTGGTAACAGGGCTATTGCTGTGAAGAACCTAACCATGTTGCTTTTTGGAGGCATGTGGAAGACGTTGGAAGTTTGAACTAGAAAAGTGGTTGAATGCCGTAAACAGGGCTTAATGGACTGTTCTAGTAAAGGCCCAGCTTATGATGTTGCTGAGGGAGATGGAAATAAAGACTTAAATAGCAACTTGGACATTTTGGCAAAGAATCTGGCTGCCATCTGCTTGGGGCCTAAGAACTTGCCTGAGGCTAAATTAACAAGTAATGGACCAATTGCTTTGAAGGAAATTTTAGACAGCCTAATGCTGAATCTACAGTGTGGTTATTGATGGTGAATACGATGCAGATTTATAATGAAAAAGAACAAATGGGTCAGAAAGAAATACACAATGTACAGTTTGGAGAGAAAAACAGAACTAGTAAGTTTAATGTTGGGGCCAAGGGAGCCAAGGTGTTCTGGAAGAGAGGCTCCATTTTTAAGACTAGAGCCATTGTGGGGACTCCTCCAGATTTGCACCAAATAATGGAAAGAGTACTCTCAGGGCAAGACGCCCCCCCTACCCAACTAAGCTTCCAACTTGTGAAAAGGAAATGGTCTAAGGAGGTTTCTGCTCCTAGAAAACTACAACATACAAAAGAAGCTGCAAATGTGGTCCAAGGGGCCAAGGCCCATCTCAGGCTTGCAGCCTAACTAGGCAGTGTCATTCACACGATGCTAGTTTTAGAGACATGAAAGATACAAGAGCAAGAGGGTCACAGATTCTTTCTCCATGGTTTCAGAGAGCTATTGGGGCCAGGCAGCAGAGAAGTCCCTGTGAGGAGGTGGCCCTGGGAGGCCAAGAGGCTCCGAGAGGCCACTGCATGCAGCTGAAAGATCAAGCCTGGTTTGTAGAGGAGATGCTAAGAGACTGGAGATGCCGGAGCCATGAGACCTCTGCCAAGAAGAGCTGCGTACAGGGACTGGTACAAGCCCAAGACAGAGGTGCATTTTGCAGGCAACAGAGCTGAGGGGCTGAGCCATCTAAGTACCAGACAGGTAGGATTTGGTGTTTGCCCTGCTGGTTTTCGGTCTTGTTTTGGTTCATTATTTTACTATGTCCCCTGTGCTGGATAGCTTTAGTATCAACTTGACACACCTGGGTTGAGGGAGCCTCGATTGGGGAATTTCTTCCATTGGCCTGGCCTGTGGCCATGTCTGTGGGGCATTTTCTTGATTGTTGAGTGATGTGGGAGGGCCCAGCCCACTGTTGGTGGTGCCCCCCCTGGGTGGATGGGCCTGTGTTGGATAAGAGAGCAGGCTGAGCAGGGGCCAGGGGAGCAAGCCAGTAAGCAGCATTCCTCCATGGCATGTGCTCCAGCTCCTGCCTCCAGATTCCTGCCCTGAGTTCCTCCTACCTTGGGCTCCCGGATGAACTGTGACCCAAAATATGTAAGCTAAATAAACCATTTCCTCTCCCCAAGTTGGTAGTGGTCAGAGTATTTTGTCAACGCAATGAAGAATAAACTAAGACAACCCCGCTCCTCCCTTTTGGAATCGGAATGTGTATTCTGTGTATGTTGGGAGTATGCAGTTTGTCTTTTTTTATTTTACAGAGGTTACAGTTAGAGATTGCCCTGAGTCTCAGAAGAGACTCTGGAATTCTGAAGAGTGTTGAAACTGTGAAAGACTATGGGGACTTTTGAAATTCGACTAAGTGCATTTTGCATTATGATAGCATGGGCTAACAGGGGCCAGGGAGTGGGACGTGGTGGTTAAAATGAGAAGTGTCCCCCACAGGCTCCAAGTATTTGAATAGCTGGTCAGCTGGTGGTGCTGTTTGGGAGGTCTGGGAGTCACTGGGGGTGGATGTGAGAGTTCCCAGCCTTGCCCCAACTTTCAGTTTCTCTCTCTGCTTCCTGTACCTGCTTGAAGATGCTAACTCTCAGCTTCTGCTCTGGCTGCCTCCTACCACGCCTCTCTTGACTGATGGATTCTTATCCCTCTAGAACAGTGGTGAGCCCTATAAACTCTCCCTTCTATAATCTGCCTTGGTATTAGGGTTTTATCGCAACAGCAGAGAAGTAATTAGTACACTGTGCATGCCTAACCTGAGTTCAGTTCCCCAGGACCCGAAGTAGGAGAGAACTGACTCTCAAAAGTTGCCCTCTAACCTCTACAGGTGTGCTGCAGTATGCGTACACCTGCATTAACGCCCATGCCTATTGCACACACACACCTGCATTAATGTCCATGCCTGTTGTATACACACACCTGCATTAATGCCTATTGCATACACACACCTGCATTAATGTCCATGCCTGTTGTATACACACACCTGCATTAATGTCCATGCCTGTTGTATACACACACTTGCATTAACGTCCATGCCTACTGCACACACTCACACATAAGTGATTTTTTAGTTGCCATCAGTTACGCTAACAACCCAATCCTAGGAAGAATTGAACAAAACCAGTCATAAGAATATTCATTCTCTTCTACCAGCAAATGGGAATTGACTCTGAGGAAATAATCCTAAAGCTTTATGTACAAACATTTTCTCTATGTTCACAAATTTAAAAAATGGGAAAACCCTGTCCCTAAGTTCAGTGCACTAAGAGCCCAGACATAAACTGTTCTTCCGAGACTGCCCACCCTCAAGCGTTAAGTTGACACGGTCTACTTTACACAGTCTACGGTGCATAGTCTGGTTTCCATTAAGGATGAATATGACATTGCCTTGTGCCTCCTGGACAGGAAGGTCTGGACGTTCCTCTGAGTATGACTCCACAGCCTAGTACCATTCCCTGCCACAGTGGGGCCGTGACCACTGGACACCCCACAAGGATGCCTGCACATGTCACACCATTACCTCGGCACAGGGTCCCTCCAGTCACCTCTCTTGTTAGCTTTCTTCGCTCTAGAGAACTCGTTCACCCAGATGCTGCCAAACAAACCGAACCTGACCTCCAGCCACTTCTGGGCACCTGCTGCAGGGCTGTGGCCCCCAAGATCATCAGGGCTATCTGATCCTCTGGGAATGGGTTCCCCAGATCCAGAGGGGCGTGTAGAGGTTTCCTGGGCATTGGGAACGGAGACTGGCTCTGTACACACGGCCTCTTCTAGCCATGCTCCTCCTTCAAGAGGCTCTGGCGGTGGGTTCCTACCAGGTGGTTCCATCTCTTCATTAGGATTGAAGCGAAGGAATAATTTTTTTCCATGCACCTAGCAAAAAATGAGCATGAATTAAGCCTCTAGAGACCCAGACAGGGCCCGAAGGCTTCAGTTACCTAATGACAGACTGCTTCCTTCTCCGCACCCAAAGTATCACCAAACCACCAAAAGGGAAGGTTTCCCTGCCTTTGATCTTTTGTTCCAGTGATGTGACCAGTTGGTGTAGAGCGTTCAAAAGACCTAGAAGCAACTGGGGGAATCAGATTAGCCATGAGACAGGCCTACATCAGACATCAAGTACACCCAGAATACTGGAGACCTGTTCCTAAAGATTCAGAGACTTGCTAAAAGATAAACACAGTTATTCTTTCATGTAATTCATGATGCATTTTTCTAGGCTAGCATGAATTAGCATGCATGCACATGGCATGAGCACACAGCTAAAAGAGAACACAGTAAAATCCAGGAGCATCCCCTGCCCCTAGCAAATTGGACCTGGCCAAAGCAACAACCACAAGAGAACTCAAAAACAAACAGAAAAACATGACCAAAGTATAATCTGATAGCATGGGGGCTTCCACCTGTAATCCCCACACTTGGGAGGCTGAGGCAAGAGGATCAAGAGCTCGAGATCCGGATCTTCCTGTTCCACAATCAGGCTGGGATGAGCTGCTAGAGTTCCCTGTGAGTCTGTCAAGTGTACCCCTCGCCACTCATTGAAGAAGCTTCTTTTTACAACAGATGGAGACTATTACAAAGTTCCACAGCTGGTCACACACAGAGAATAAGTGTTGTGAGGTGCCCAACCCTAACTGACACATCTATAATGCAACCTCTACACTTAAGGCTCAGGGAACATGGTGGAACAGGGGGGCACAAAGAATACTAATGTGTTTCTCAACTCTCACTAGAGAAACTCCGTCATGCAGCAGAGGGTGATTAACTCAGTCACAACTGGTCAAAGTGCAGAGACTAAGAGACTGCAGAGCGCTTGTCCCCAAACAGGACACCCATATTGAACCTGCATCACCCGAGGCTCAGGGATCATTGCAGAAGAGGAGACAGAAAGATTGTAAGAGCCAGAGGTGGTGGATGACCACAAGGAAGCAGAGTTTTTTTGACAGCTGGGAAGTTAACTCATATGAACTCACATCAGTAGTGACAGCATCAAAGTCCCATGTAAGCTCAAGTCATACAGAATTCCCAGCATAGACGTGGGGAGGTGGGAAAGAAATCCCAACCTTAGCAGAGGAACTTCTGACAACCGAGAGCTGCTGGGAGAGGAGGGGCCAGTTTTCTTTAAGGATATGACACTAGATAGGTTAACCAGAGTTCAGTGCATGGACCCACACCATAGGGCATTCGGGGACACAAACCTGGCTCGATAGATCTTAATATATAGGACAGAGTACATGAAATCAAGTGGAGGGCAGGTAAGGGAGGGGGTCTAAATATATTGTGTGAAATTTTGTAAAAACAAATCAATAAAAAATTTTAAAGAAGAGTTCATAGGGCTGGAGAGATGGCTCAGCGGTTAAGAGAACTGACTGCTCTTGCAGAGGACCTGGGTTCAATTCCCAGTATCCACAACCATCCATTTATAACTCCAGTTCCAGGGTATCCAATGCCCTCTTCTGACCTCGGGGGCAATGCATGACATAGGTGCACTTACACACATGTAGGCAATACACTCATACATAAAAAATAAAAATGATAGATAAAATTTTTTTTAAAAGAGTTCAAGATCTGGGTTGGCAAGAAGGCTTAGCGGGTAAAGGTGCCTGCCAAGCCTGGTGATCTGAGTTCAATCTTCGTGATCACATGGTGGAAGAAGTGGACCACTCTTTCAAACTGTCCCGATTGCCACATGCACACCATGGCATGCATGCTCACAGATACACACACACACGCACGCACGCGTGCACGCACACAAAATAAAATAAAATTTAAAATTTTCCTTAAAAAAAAAAAAGAGTTCCTGGCCAGCCTAGACCGTATCTCTAAAAATCAAACCACCAAACAAAAATTGACACTATAAGCAATAAACATTAAATTTTGACACAAAACTTGATCACTGAACCAAACCATAATATACGAAGTCAAAGATTTACCATATCTCAAGGAAAATTATTTCAGTAAAAGAAAATGAAAATGGGAAACGTACTGAACTGTCACAGCTGCGTTGCTGTCCTCTGCTTTCCTGTTGTGAGTCCCTGGAACCTTGCACACGCCACACCTGGACTCCAGGATGAAGCGCTGCATAGCAGAAACCCAGGCAAGCTCTCAACAGCCAAGTCCCGTGACACGGTGCTAGAAATGTGCTGCCACCTTTCTGACATCAGAGGTGTCATAGGCTGCTGCTCTGCCACGGTCCCCAGCTTGTGAGCTAGTAAAAAACAAGTCCTGTGGAGGTCTCTGGAAATCCTCTTCCCTAAAAGCATCACCTGCTTGAACAGCCCCAGAATAAGTTAGCCACAAATCTGAGCACAGATTACTCTCTACCACATATGGGAACTAAATTAAGAATAAATGAGCAAGGAATCAAGTGGACATATTAGGATTTGCTCTAGAAAATACTTTTTTGTATAAATTTGTGCTCAATGAAATGATTCTGATTAAAATATCTGTCAAGACAGGCATGGTGGCTCACGCCTTTAATCCCAGCACTTGGGAGGCAGAGGTACGGTTCAAGGCCAACCTGGTCTACAAAATAAGTTCCAGGCCAGCTGGAGCTACAGGGAGACCAAAAAAATTTGTGTGTGTGTGTGTGTGTGTGTGTGTGTGTGTGTGTGTGTGTGTGTGTGTGCGTGCGTGTGTGTGAAATGCCCTGCAGGGTCAAAATAGCCACAAGTCAAAAATCCTGGTGAGGACATCCTCGGAGCCTCTCCAACTGTGGACATTTCTAGTCTTTAGGTTCAGGTGACACTGCAGTCCCTTCACTGCTAACTCAACTTACCAGGTGCACACAGGTGACTAAGACTCCCTCTGTCCCTCTAGGCACTTAACATTGAAAAGTGGAGGCAGCCAAAGGCCCACTAATGACTGAGGAATAAACAGAACACACTCCATAACATGGAAGATCACTGGGCCTTAGGAAGGAGATGCCACACCTGGCAGAGATGCTGGCTAAAGGAGAGGTGCCAAGTATAAGAACGCAGTCCTGCATGGCTTCACTAAGAGGCAGAGAGTCACCTTCAGAGACAAAGGTAGAATGGAGGTGCCAGTAGCTGGGGGAGAAGAGGGAACAGTTACTGAACAGCTGCTGAGGACTTCAGATGGGAAAGACAGAAAGCTTCCAGGAAGCTATTTGACAAGGTGAAGATACTTAACTATTGAGCCACACCCTGCTAGAAAGTTGGTTAAGATGGTACATTTTGTTAAGCATTACCAACAAGGGATCCCTGGGACAAGCGAACTACAGACTAATTGGAATGGGGAATTCTGGGTTAGGCAAGAGACTGTGCTCAATAAAAAGGTGGACAACAACTGGGGAAGATATCTGGTATCAACGTCAGACTCCCACATGCACGTATACACACGCATACATACACCTGCACACATACACACAGACACATTCAAATATACATATACACATACATGCATACATCACACACATACACATAAAAAATATAGAGATTGGGTGTGGTAATGTGCACCTGTAATCCCAGCACTTGGGAGCTGCAGACAGAAGGATCAAAGTCCAAGATCATCCTCAGTTACACATTGAATTCTAGCCTAGCCTGGGCTACATGAGTACCTGTTTCAAACAAATAAATGAAGAGCCAGCGATACATACACAGCTTAGTGGTCAAGTGCTGGCCTACCATGTGCAAGGCTTTGAGTTCAATCCCCTGCAAAAGTAATTTAATTAGGGGCTAGAGAGATGGCTCAGTGGTTAAGAGCACTAGCTGCTCTTGCAGAGGACCTGGGTTTGGTTCCCAGCACCTACACAGCAGCTAACAACCACCTGTAACTCCAGTTCCAGGGGAATCCAATGCCCTCTACTGACATCTGAGGGCACTGTACAACATGGCTGTACTTACACACATGCAGGCATTACACTCACATACATAAAAAATAATTTTTAAAAATATTTAATTTAAGCCGGGTGTGGTGGTGCATGCCTTTAATCCCAGCACTGGGGAGGCAGAGGCAGGCGGATCTCTGTGAGTTCAAGGCCAGCCTCGTCTACATAGCAAGTTTCATGCCAGCTGGGGCTACAGGGAGACCCTGTCTCAAAAAGCCCAAATTTTTTAATTTAATTAAAAAATAGAGGACAAGGAAAGAAGTAAGGAGGTTCTGAGGGACAGAAGGTGAGAGGGAATAAACAGATACAAAATAGAGACAAGAACGTGGAGAGAAGCGTGGTGAGCACCAGGGCACAACGGTCCACGTGGTATGTGGAGAGTGAGCCTACACAGGGCACTGTGAAGAAAGTGGAGGTGTGGAGATCCCCAGCTGACGGGACAGCAGAAAGCCTGATATGAGGAGGTGGACACTGCTATCACCACTCCCCACAAAACAGCCAGCAGGGCAGGCACAGGGCCGTTCCCTCACACACACCCAGCAAAGAGACACAGTGCTCATCACACACACACCAACTGTTGGGGACCCCTGCTGTTCTAGGTCGTAGTCTCTCCATGTCCGGATAGCCGCAAGCCGGCTCGGCGTTCTTATGCAGACACTCCCTTTGTCAGCGGGGCGCCTTCCCACTCTCTTCCTGACTCACCTTTGAAGTAGCCATCACAGATACATGTCCTCCGGCATGAAACTGCCAGGTTTTTCAGGCAATGTCTGACAGCATGGCAGAAGCCCACCACCACATGTAAATGGGGCATCCTACAAAGCACCTATCAACTAAGGCTTTTGCTACTGCCCCCACACTATAAATATCCTGGTTTCCCCCTAATTAATCGGAGCTGAATGACTAAGATCTGGAGCTGAGCTGAGTCACTGCATAAAGGAGCTGTATCACGAGCTGTACCACTGAGTCTGACTGAGCTGTGTCCTGTGTCTTCCTGCCTACGATTCAGTCTCCCCGGAGGGGGCTGTCCCTTCGTAAACAACCACTCCGAAGATCTTGCTTTCGCCGTTCTTGCACCTCCCCTCGTGACCCGGTGGCCGACGGATCGCGTCCATAGAGGGAGCGCCGGCAGCTTGGTACGGAACCCGCCCCGGCAGCTGACAGCGGCCGTCAGAGCCGCCAACTCCCGGTAGCCGCGGAGAGCCAGGGACCTGCACAGCAGAGACCCGACAACCCACCGCACCCCAGTGGCGCGAGCGAGACCGGCGCCACGCCCAACAGCTGGTGCTCCGAGATCCCCGTGCGCCCACAACCAACGAGACACAGTGCCCATAACACATACCAGCAAAGAGACGCAGTGCTCATCACACACATACCGAGATACAGTGCCCATCACACACATACCAGCAAAGAGACGCAGTGCTCATCACACACACACCAGCAAAGAGACGCAGTGCTCATCACACACACACCAACAATGAGATGCAGTGCCCATCACACATACCAGCAAAGAGACGCAGCGCCCATCACACACACACACACACACATACACACACACACACACACACACACACCCAGCAAAGAGACGAAATGCTCATCTCACACACACCAGCAGAGACTCAGTGCCCATCACACACACCCAGCAAAGAGACACAGTACTCATCACACACACACCAGCAATGAGACACAGTGCCCATCACACACACCCAGCAAAGAGACGGAGTGCCCATCACACACACACCCAGCAAAGAGACGCAGTGCTCATCACACACACACCAGCAATGAGACACGGTGCTCATCATACACACACCAGCAGAGACCATCACACCCACACCCAGCAAAGAGACACAGTGTCATCACACACACACACACACACACACACCAGCAATGAGACACAGTGCCCATCACACACACCCAGCAAAGAGACGGAGTGCCCATCACACACACACCCAGCAAAGAGACGCAGTGCTCATCACACACACACCAGCAATGAGACACGGTGCTCATCATACACACACCAGCAGAGACCATCACACCCACACCCAGCAAAGAGACACAGTGTCATCACACACACACACACACACACCAGCAATGAGACACAGTGCCCATTACACACACGCAGCAAAGAGACACAGTGTCCATCACACATACACACCCAGTAAAGAGATGCAGCGCCCATCACACACACACACACCCAGCAAAGAGACGCAGTGTTTATCACACACACACACACACACACACACACACACACACACGTGAATGTTGTATGTATTCATGAGAACAGGTGGTGACACCAGATGCTGAACTTGAAGTATAAGTTTTGCTTGACACACACACCAGCAAAGAGAGAGACACAATGCCCATCTGAAAAACAGCAGGCAGAACAGGATGGTAACATACATGGCACAGCCAGGACCTAGCCTGCTGAATCCCATCCACTCTGACTCCAGATGAGACTGAGGGTGGGAGGCCTCTAGCTGGGGTGAGGTGGTGGGGTCAACCTATAGCCTCCACATACATTCACATACACACAGATGCACACTGGCTCACATGTACACTGCCTCATGTGCACACATGATCATGTACACACATGCTACCAAAAAAAACAACCCTCTCTCCTCCCCTTGAGAATGAAAATATATATTATATAATAATTATATATATATATCTCACCCAACCTTCAAGGTCCACCCCAAGTCCCACCTCCTCCAGGCCATAAGAACCTCTCCCTCTATGCTGAGGCCATCACTGGGGGCTCCGATCCTCCCCATTTTCCATACTGGAGAGTTTTCCTATGAAGATATGGCTCTTTCCTTTCCAATCCAAAGCTGCATCCCTCAAGAGAGGGGACCCAACAGAGGGATGCCGATCACCACCAGTGAGCTCCCAGAGGCCCATCCTTAAGCCTCCTCAGGGCCCCACAACACAGATATCTGCCTTTGTTTACCAGGAAATCAGCTCCAAATCCAGCTCTAGCTTCCGTGCCACACACTCATCTGTCTCCAAATCCATTCTGTGACAGAGACCAGAACCAAGGGACTTAAACCTTTCAGAACAGTCTCTACGAAGAGGCCATAAGCCTAAAGGTGGAAAGACCCAGACTCCTAAACTTGGACAACCCTGAGCCTCAGTTTCCAAATATTAGCTACAGGTAAAAGAGTTACGAGACATCTTCCACTTTAAGAATCATTCTGTATGAGGACAGTGTGTGTATGTGCGTGCGTGCGTGCGTGCATGCGTGTATGAAGTGAAAGAGAGCTAGCAGTTTATCAAGTACATACATATTTCATGCCAGGTATAAAGTCTACTCTCACAAGAGTTTTAACAAGTAGATGTTTTATCCTCATTTTACAGTTAAGACTTAGAGCCATGAAACTGAAAATTTGTTCCAGATCACACAGCTAAGTAGCAGCAGAGCCCAGGTGTTACCGTGTAAACATCCACCTCACGACTCCTATGTACAGTTGCCTGGCTAAGTGACAGGGATGCGAGACTGAGTGGGATACAGCCTTGCCCTGTTTCTGTCTCTCCAACAAGGAGTGACTCAGCAATAAGGGCAGAACACGAGGAAACAGAATGTTCTGGAAGCAGAGAAGAATCATTTCTCAGGCATCATAAAGCAAGCTTCTCAGAGGACAAGATGGCTAAGCATAATCCAGAAGAGAGACTAAAATGACCATGGTAAACTGAGGGAGGAAGGCAGAGATGAGAGAAAAAAGGGAAAATCTGAGCTGCAGGTAGCTGCTGTGAGTAAAGACTGACTCGAGGCTGAGGACAAAGGCCAGAGAGACAGGCAGGGTCTGTCCACAGGAGCCCCTGAACCCCCTGAAGGAATTCTGACTCCCACTCAGGACGATGATGAGCAAGTCTGAACCTGGATCTTCAATGGCCTTTATTCCTTACTTCCCAGCTGAACTGTGGGAGTAGCAAAGCCCCACGTAAGACACAGAGAGCTGTCGGGAGCTCTCCAGACTATGCATGGGGGTCTCCAGCGTGTGCCTGTGCGCCCTTCACTGCCCACAGTCCACCGTGACATTTCAACTGAAAGAGGAGGGCCACACGGAGTCCTCACATGGCTATCCAGTGCTCACAAAAGGGACAGGACAATCTTGGATGGATGTCTCCAAGGGAGGCAGAGGACATGGTGAGGGAGCCAGCACACCTGAGTAAGGCCCAGAATGTCAAACTCACCTGGGTATCCTGGAGCCACAGAGACTGGAGGGTGGCAGGGGGCATCTTCTTACTGCTGCCCCCTGTCCTGACCACCTGCTGGCCCACAAAGGGGGAAATGAGATGGTGAAACTTCCTCACAGATGGCCCCTCTGGCATCCCTGTGGGCAGAAACGGGCAAGGGAGACCAATGACTCAGCTTGGTTCTCTCAGTACGGCACGCCAAGGAACCAATTTGGGCCATCAACTTTAGGAGAATAAGTGCCCAGAGCTGGGGATGGTGGCTGTCTTAGCTAGCTTTTCTATTCCTGTGACAAAACACTCTGGCCAATACCAACTTCCGAAGGAAAGGGTTTATTTGGCTTCATCTCCTGGGTCACAGTTCATCACTGAGGGAGCCCAAGACAGGAACTCAGGGCAGGAACCTGGAGGCAGGAGCTGAAGCACAGGCCATGGAGGAACACTACTGAAAGAGGAGGACTGCATGGAGTCCTCGCATGGCTGTCTAGTACTCACAGAAAGGACAGAACACTCTGGCTTGCTCCTCTGGCCTGCTTTCTTACACAACAGAGGACAACGTGCCCAGGGGTGGCACTGCCCACAGTGGACTGGGCCCTCCCACATCACTCAACAATCAAGAAAATGCTCCACAGACATGGCCACAGGCCAGTCCAAAGGAGGCAATCCACCAGTTGAGGCTCTCTCAACCCAGGTGTGTCACGCTGACAACTAAAGCTATCCAGCATAGTGGCATCCCTTTAATTCCGTCACTCGGGAGGCAGAGGCAGGCAGACTGCTACAAGATTGAGGCTGAGACCAGGCTAGACCATAAGTTCCAGGCCAACTAGGGCTACAGGGAAACTGCCTCAAAACACACACACACACATATATATATATGTCCCAAACAGAGCCTGACTGGGGTGGGGAATCAGATGACAGACTCCACTGGGGCAGGTGAGGGCCAGCTTTGCAAGGGTTTCTCTTCCAGGCGGATCACATTTCTTCCCACATTAAGCATTAGTCATGTAGAGGGCAACTGTCCATTTCAATGGCATGGACACCTTAGTAGTCAGCCATTTTTTGTTTATTGGTTTTTTTTTTTTTTTTTTTTTTTTTTTTTTGTCTTTTTGAAGCAGGGTCTCCCTGTAGCCCCAGCTGTCCTGGAACTCACTATGTAGACCAGGCTGGCCTTGAACTCACAGAGATCCTCCTGCCTCTGCCTCCCGAGTGCTAGGATTAAAGGCATGCACCACCACACCCGGCAAGTTTATTGGTTTTTTTGAGACTGAGTCTTACTATAATATGGCTCTGGCTGAACTGGTATATGTAGCCCAGGCTGGCCTCAAATTTACAGTAGTCCTCCTGCCTCAGCCTCCTGAGTGCTGAGATTATAGGCATGCACCACCACATCCTGCTCATTATATTTTGCCTGGTGTATTAGGCCCCTAACTCACCACACTCTCTGTCCTCCTCTCTCCCCATCCCACCCCCAGATATTCCAACCCTCTACTGCTGGTTTCCTCTCACTGGGACCTGGCCCTCCCAGGACAACACCTTGGGTAGGACTACTGTGCACTAGAGTTATGAGACCTCTTCTCTAAGAATGGCGTGACCTTTCTGGCCCCAGTGCAGGCAGAGCTCTGAACTTGGACAAGTGCAGACACCAGCCATGCAGGAAGACCATCATCAGCTTTAGTATTAATGTGCCTGAGGGCTGAGAAGTGGTGTAAAAGCCTGTGACTCCCATCTCTCCCTGTTCCCAATCATCCAGTCACCAAGAGCCACCAGGATGAGCCCATCTGAGGGACTGCATCCTGGCTTCAGTAAGCAGGAGTTCCCCACCCTCTTACTCAGGGCTCTACCACCTGAGACTTAGTAGCACAAGGCTCCATAAATTACAATGAAAATTAGCAGAGGTATCCAGCAGGTGGTAGGTATTATTTGTGTTTCTAAAACACATTCTGTTTGGTTTAAAAAAGAATCGCACTCTGTAGCTCAGGCTGGCCTTGAACTCCTCAACAATCCTCCTGTTTCCATTTCCAAAGTGCAGGTGCTACCACTGTTAAGTGTGAGTCACCATACCCAGCTAAAAACATTTAAAATTTACATTAAGAGACAGGGTGCCCCAGAATCCCACATATTCTTACAGCTTTATTACAATATATTCAAGAAAACTATTTTTCTTTTTGTTTTTTCCAGCTGGCCTCTAACTTACTATGTAGCTGAGAATGGCCTCCATCTCCTGAGTGGGGCATTACAGGCCAGCATCACAGCAGGCATCCCCACTCTGTTTCTGCTTAATCCCAGAACACCTTGCACGCTAGGCAAGCACTCTACCAACTGAACTAAGTCCCAAGCCTCTCAAAAACGCTCCTCTTAAACTCCACTGTGCCTTGGAGTCTCAGTCACATTCTTATAAATATAAGTTTTCCTGCTCGGACATTCCACGGAAAACGCTGGACTGGAAAGTGTTCAGGCATGGCTGGCCCTAACCAGCTAAGCTCAGAGGCCTCTGGGCCTCCTACAGAAGCTGTGGAAAAGCCTGTCTCTGCAATGCACCTTAATCTTAAATCTCTCAGCTCAGGGTTGGAGACCACTCTGCGGTGAAAAGCGCTTGCTGCCCTTGCAGAGGGCAAGACTTCATGCCAGCAGTAAGGCGGGCTCACAACTGCCTGTAACCCCAGCTACAGGGGATCTGACCCCTCACGCCCTTTCTGGCCTCCACAGGAACCTGCACACATGTGGCAATAAAGAGAAATTCAATAGTTTTTAAAATCTCTCAGCTCAGGGACTGCAGAGATGGCTGAGCAGTTAAGAGCACTGGCTGCTCCTGCAGAGGACCCAGGTTCAGTTCCCAGCACCCACATGCCGGCTAACAACCATCTCTAACTCCCGTTCTAGGGGATCTGACACCTTCTTCTGACCTCCCTGGGCACTGCACGACACGGGTGCACTTACATGCATGCATGCAATACACACACACACACACACACACACACACACACACACACACACATCTCTAACTCCCGTTCTAGGGGATCCGACACCTTCTTCTGACCTCCCCCGGCACTGCACGACACGGGTGCACTTACATGCATGCATGCAATACACGCACACACACACACACACACACTTAAAAACCTCTCAGCTCCAGGCGGCGTTTCCCATGGGTCTTTTGGTGGCGAGGAGGAAAACCTAGCAGAAAGATGCAAACCCAGCCCTGCTCAGCCCAGGTCGCCAGGCTGGGAAGGAGGGGGCCCCGCTGGGGTCTCCCGGGAGAACCACTGCTTTTCCCAACCCCAGGCACAGCGAGAGGGGAGGAGGGGCGGGGAGGGTCGCGACTCTCAGCTCCTGGCGGCGTTTCCCATGGGTCTTTTGGTGGCGAGGAGGAAAACCTAGCAGAAAGATGCAAACCCAGCCCTGCTCAGCCCAGGTCGCCAGGCTGGGAAGGAGGGGGCCCCGCTGGGGTCTCCCGGGAGAACCACTGCTTTTCCCAACCCCAGGCACAGCGAGAGGGGAGGAGGGGCGGGGAGGGTCGCGAGGGCCGGGGAAAGCAGGTCACGTGATCAACAAACAGCCGCATTGGTCCGGCAGGGAGCGTCCTTAGGAGATGCTGCTTAAACTAACTCTCCACACTAGGAAAAGAGGTGCTGACAACGTGCACGTGCGTGGCGAGTGCACCCGCCACCCGTGCGTGCCCAGGCTGGTCTGCGAGCCCGGGCAGGGAGGACTCACCGGCTGGGAGTCGGGCCCGGGATACAGCTAAGCGGTGCACCGGAGCCTGCCCGGCTGGAGCGGAACTCTGCCCCCGGGACGCAGGAGGCGGGGCTCGCCCGGAGTGGGCGGACTCTTCCGGGCCACCGTAGGAGGAGCTTCCTCCCCGGACTCTCCCGAGCCACCCAGGTACCGGGGCATCCACCCTAGAACCGGAGCATCCTCCCCCATCTCTCCCCGGCCACCCAGGTACCCGAGCATCCTCCCAGGGGTGGATGGGAGGCTGCAAGGTCCTATCCTGGCGTGCTGGAGGCCTCGGAGGGGTGCTGCGCGCTCCTCCTGGGGTGAGCCCCTGAGGCGCCCCGGCGGGGTGCAGGCTCCTCCCGAGGGAGGGGATCTGGAAGCCTGGGCCCCGGGCTGTTAAGAGCTAGTAGAGGACGTGAGGCACGTTTATCATCTCACTGAGACTGGTAGAGAGAAAAAAAGTTACAGGCCTGGTGTGGTGCCCCACATCTGCAATCCCAGCACTTGGGAGGCTGAGGTAGATTACCCAGGAGTTTGAGGCTAGCCTGTTTACTCAGAGAGGTTAGGATATACAGTGAATCCTAGTCCCCCAAACCCACACCAAACAAAACTAAAATTAACACACACACACACACACACACACACACACACGAAAGGTCTGAAGGAAATGAAAGTTAAATTGAAAAGTCTGTCTTGGCCTGAACCACCCAAGACCAGGCTAACTTTGTTGTTGTTGTTTGCATTTTGAAACAAGGTCTCACTATATAACCCTGGCTGACCTGGAACTATATAACCCCAGGCTGGCCTCCGACTCACAGAGATCCGCCAGTCTCTACCTCAAAAGTTCAGGGATTAAAGGTGTGTGCCACCACACTGAGCAGCTTGGCCTGTAATGTTTTTAAAGAGTTGGGTACTGGGGCTGGAGAGATGGCTCAGCCTTTAAGAACACTGGTTGTTCTTGCAGAAGACCCGGGTTCGAATCCCAGCACCCACATGACAGCTAACAACTGTCTCCAGTTCCAGGTGATCCGACAGCCTCTTCTGTCCTGCGTGGGTATTGCATAACACTGGTGCACTTACCTACATGCAGGCAATACAGTCATACACGTAAAATAAAAAATAAAATATTTATAAAAAAAAGTCTAGCTGGGCGTGGTAGCGCACACCTTTAATCCCTGCACTCAGGAGGCAGAGGCAGGTGGATCTCTGTGAGTTCAAGGCCACCCTGGTCTCCATAGTGAGTTCCAGGACAGCTGGGGCTACAGAAAGACCCTTTCTCAAAAAAACCAAAAAAAAAAAAAAAAGTCTAGAAGTCTAGTAGAATCCATCTTATCTTGGGCTTTTCCCTAAAAAAAATAAAATAAAAATGAAGAGTGAGATGCTTTAACTTTACATTATTTCAGTATTGTTATTTGGAGTCTTACTATATGCTTTCACTTTTCATATTTTGTATTGTGTATTAAATTTTTATTTGAAAGAATAAAGGTGATAATAGGTCATTCAAAGACAAATATTGTTAGTGTTTGGCGGGGCAAGGAGGACAGCACTTTGCAGGAAGTCAGCTAGGGCCTTTGGCAAACTCTGGGAAGGTCTTCAGGAAGTGTCGAGGATGTCAGTCCCTGGACCCTGGGAGGATTTGGCCAGCACGAAGAGATAGCCCCAGCCCCAGGGGCTTGACCTTCCAAAGTGCCACCTGCTGGAGGTCCAGGACAGGAGATAAGGAGACGAAGGCTTAGGGAAAGGCCTTGGGTATCTGAGCTGGAAAGGACCAACTAAGGCACAGAGGGTGAGCTTGAGGGCATGGGCTTTGCAGGAAGACATTCCCACGTTCTGTATCTGGCTTCTTCAGAGAATAGCATCTTTGGTAAAATTCAGTTCACAGCCAGATGTGGTGGTGTATGCCTTTAATTGAAGCACAGGCAGAGACAGGTGGATCTCTGAGATCAAGGCCAGCCTGGTCTACATAGTGAGTAACCCCATCTCGGAAAAAAAGGATGCACCGCACTCCTGTGTCACTTCCTGACCACCCTCCCCCTCCTCTTTTTGTAGAGTGACTGTGTTGGATGGAAGCTATAGCCAGAATCGTTGCCTCATCTGGATGAATCAAAGCTCTGCACCTGAGTTGTCTTCTGACCCAAGGGACTGTGCACCTGAGGAAAGGTCCACAGCCTGCTGCTGTTATTTATGGCAGCTAAACAAGCCAGTCACAGTATTTGAATTTGTTCTTTAAATGCGGTAACTATACCACTATAGACATAAAGCCTCACCTCTCAAACTGTAATATGTATATGAATCACCCAGAAACATTTAAGCACAGATTATGTGAAATCTGTAGCAAGGCTGGACATTTGCCTTTCCAGCAAGCTCCTAGGTGGTGCTGATGCTGCTCATGCAGGGACCACACTTCGGCGGCCGGGGCTTAGAGGACAGTGCTTGGCAGTTCATATTTATTGAAGGAATGCTTGAGATTTTAAGTCAGGAAATGCTCTTAAGCTCTAGAATGTTAGACCAGGCTGTGCAGATGTTCCCCCGCTTGTGAGTTTTTGCTCTTCAAAGTTGGAATTCTGGAATTCAAGAAACACCTGGGTCTTGGTTCTGTACTTAGCCCTGTAAAGAATTTTGTAAAGTGACTTAAAATTCATTAACCACCAAGGATCACTGTGAAAGAGGGGTGTAAAGCTTGTAAAGACCCAGAGATGGTGGATGACCAGAAGAAATGGAGTTTTCCAGACAGCTGATCAGTTACACATATGAACTCATAGCAATGACAACAGCATGCCCAAGTCCCATGCAAGCTCAAGCCAGACAAAATCCCAGCACAGATGTGGGGAAGTGGATAAGAAACTCCAGCCCTACCTGAGGAACTATTGGCAACCAATGGCTGCTGGGAGGTAGAGAGTCAATTTTTTTAAGGGTGTGACTCTTAGTAGGTTAACCAGGCTCCAATGGATGGACCCCACACCGAAAAGTATCTGGGACAAAAGTTTCATTCTATAGTTATATATATATGTATATGTATATCTTTAATATGTATATTATGTGCGTATGGATGTAATAGAATCTATAGTCATATGTATATTATGTATATTATATGTGTATGGATGTGTATAATAGAGTACATGAAATTGGGCTGGGGGTGGTTGGGGATGCAAATGGGGGAGGGGATCTGAATTTGACCAAAGTATATGAAATTTGCAAAAATTCAATAAAAACTCATTAGCCATATGTCTGAGAACATGATTGTAAAGATGTACAAATGTTTTTCTGAGGGCGGCTAATGTTATTAGCAGTGTCTGACTGGCAGAAAGGCTCAATAAGATCAATAAACAATGCTTTTTATTAGCATTGGGGGCTGATCTCGGATTAACGGCTTGAAAACTCATGCTGTAATGAATGTGGAAAGGGAGAAGGGGATGGAGGCATCCTGTCCTGTCCCTGTTCCCGTCGTGCCCCGCCCCCCGCCATGGCGAATGCGTGAACTCCAAGCACGTGCCTACGTGTGTCTTCCTAGAACTGTAGGTAAATGGTCCGGCTTTACACAACTTCTCTAGGTGACAGGATGAGAGAATGTGGACCTCCAGCTGATCTCTGAGACCCACATGATCTGTCTGTGAACTGGAAGTCTGTCCCAATCTGGGCTTTTTCTGTTCCATTCAAGTTTACCAGGCCAGCTGCCAGAGACCTTTGAGACACTGATTTTCCATATTCTTAGTAACTTAGCTCACTGAACTCTCATAGAGTCTAGGTTTGTACCCAATGGAAGGAAGGGAGAGATTAGCAGAAATTCTCCAGCCCTCATAAGCTACACAGGAAGCTTGTTCTACCAAGCACCAGAGCACATAGACAGAGTTTCATGTAGCCAGGCTGGCCTTGAACTCACTGAGTAGCTGAGGCTGACCTTGAATTCCTGATCTTCCTGCGTCTTCCTCCATGGTACTGGGATTACAAGTGTGCTTAACCACACCTGGTTTATGCAGTGCTGGGGATCAAACCTAGGGCTTTGAGCACCCTAGGCAAGCACTTTAACCAAATGAGCTACATCCCCAGCTTAAACTTTTCTCTTTATAATTATAATTATCTCAGATGTTTTGCTATGGTTAGGAAAAGCAGATGAATGTAGTCAGTACATGGAGCTCTGGAGTGAGAAGTTTATCTTAATGATTCTCCAGTCCTGTTTGGTACACGTTCAGTGAATAGAAACTTGTGGTCATTACTATCAGCCCAGCCAAACACAGCCACAGCTAAATTGGTTACTGCCCAAAAGTCAGGACCATTGCATTCTGACTGTGAATTGGTTAAACCTGGGTTTCAGAAGGTTTTGTCAGAGGTATGAACATAAAGCAATGTGAGGTATTATGTAGATTCAACCCTTGAGAAAGTGACTTATTCTGATGACACTGTTTTTGCATCACCAGTTCTCTCCTCCTCCTCCCAGTCATGGCCCAACAACTGGAAATTGCATCTTTGTTGTTGATGATGATGCTATAGAGACAGAATATCATGTGGCTGGCCTCAGACCTCATGTGGCTGAGGATGACCTTGAACTCCTGATTCTTCTCCCTCTACCTCCCAAGTGCTGAGCATACAGGCATGCACCACTAGCTCAGCTGCATCTTTTATAGTATCTTGATTGGCTTCCTTAAGGATTATTTGGTTGAGGGAAGCAGGAAGTCTGAGGAACAAGAAGCTGAGTTTTTCTAATCGGGGTGAGCTACCCATTATGGGTGTATGCAGAATGAGATTGGGCAGAAATCTGATTTGAAATCCATTTCCGAAAGAAAGTGCAGGTATTGTAAGCAAAGATTCACTCAAACAAGACCTGAGCATCCTCTGGTTAACATACGTCCAGATAGCTTTTGGTTTTTTGTTTGTCTTTTTGAGACAGGGTCTCCCTGCAACCCCAGCTGTCCTGGAACTCACTGTGTAGACCAGGCTGGCCTTGAACTCTCTGAGATCCACCTGCCTCTGCCTCCCGAGTGGTGAGATTAAAGGCGTGCACCACCATGCCTGGCAGCGTTTGGTTTTGAGTCTTCTTTCTCAGACTCAGCTTACCTGCTTGACAGTAGCTCAGTGGATTTGGTTTAGTTGTTCCTTCAAGAAGAGTTTAAAAGCTTTCTGGGGCCAGCAATATAGCTCATTGAGTAAAGCATTTGCTACACAGGTCTGACAACTTGAGTTCAATCCCTGGGACCCACGTAAAGATGGAAAGAGAGAACTGACTCCCAAAAGTTGTCCTCTAACCTCCACACACATACTGTGGCTGTGACACTTGTGCCCTGACGTATATAATAAATTTTTTAAAATTTAAGATTTTCTGGTTTTACATAGCTGTGTGTGTGTGTGTGTGTGCACGTGTATGCATGTGTGTTGCTATGTGCTGGAAAATAACCCAGACACTAGGAGATGTGATACCCAGATGCACAGTAGATTTGGCACAAGTTGAGTGAGAGGTAGGGTCACCCTGAAGATGGGAAATCTGCAAGTCCAGCCAGTCTCACAGGGAATGAATGAGAGCACAGCCCTAGGACTAAAGATTTCTTCCCATCCCTCATACTTTTAAGATGAAGCAATCAGTGCTCTCCTTTTCAGTGAACTGACAGGCACAGATGGCCTTTACCCAGTTTCTCCCTCGTGGTTTTTTGCACTCGGCACCTCTGAGGCAGTGGTGGAAGCTGGCTAGACGAGTACTGCTAATGGGAGGCCTCAGACAGGTCACCTCCATCTTCAGCTTCCTGGAGACGACTGATGCATCCTTGATGGAAGTGTTTCCACTGCCTCACAGTAAATGTTGCCCTGTGTGGGGACATTTTTAGAGCTTCTGCCTAGATGCCTACAGCTCCGTTTAGCTGGATGGTCCTTGATCTCTCCAGTCTCCTGGTTTAGGACATAGCTGGAGGGCTGCTATCTGCTTTTCCTTGTGGTTTGACCCAAGCAGGCTTCACAGAGACAAATGACACGCATCCTAATGAGACAAGAATGCTTTGTTTCTGTATCTATTTTGGCTTTACCTGGTCAGGGGAAGTAAAAACCTTGGAGGGAAGACAAGAAAGGGGGAATACAGATAAATTTATTAGTTAAATACTGATTTTACAGCCATTTCACCTTAAGACAATGTTAACAGGTTGTGGGGGAGGGAAGACATGGGAGGGTGGCCTTTGGGGAGAAAACAGTGTAAATGATGATTAAAACAGAATCTTGGTTCAATGCTATTCTCTGCTACAGCCAGTAGGGTTTAGGGCTGGGAGCTGGGAGTTTGGGATACGGCAGGGTCATTGCCACATCAGCTACTGTTCTGTCGGTACAAGGACAATTCTTCAGGAGCCCCAACACACAGGGGAGGAGGCTGATTCCAGGACGGCTGTGAGTGCGAGAACCCTTCAGCTCCTGGCATCTTGCATACATCACCTTCATTCTTTTGTGAATTTCCTTTTGTTGTTTTTGCTTTGACTATATCTTGCAAATGCTCTATGTTTCCTAGATAAAGGATCCATGCTGGAAAAAGGCGTGGGTCCAGACAGTGTCTGACTGAGAGGCCCGAGGCTGGGCAGGCTCAGAGCAAGCAAGCTGGAGTCCTGGAACACAGGGACCCCAAGGTGCCCATGAGCGCAGTCACCAAAGCTGCTTCAGTAGCAGACTGGCTTTGCCTCTCCCTGGGTACCCAGTGTGTGAAGGGGGCAAACAAGGATGCTAGGGACAGCCCCAACTGGTATAATCCTGCTACGCTGCTGAGCTCTAGTTTTGAAGAGTTGGGAGATGTTCAGGCCGAAGAGCAAGGGGTTTAATGTCAGAGTTCCTGCAAGGGAAGGGAAGGGAAGGCTTGGCAGGTAAGGACTGGGAAGGGCATGACTTGCCAGGCTCCAATTTGATGAAGCCATCGTGTGTGGTGGGTGATGCACCCTCTCCTCCATTTCCCTAGGAAGCGCTCAGTAACATCCACGTTGCACCCAGCGTTTGTGGAGTCAGATGTGGTATAGGGCATGCAGGGATGTGCCATGCCTCCAGGGGAGTGTTGGGCAAGGGCAGGGCTGCCTGAAGAGGCCTGTCACATCCAGTCCGCATTTAGCTGGTACTTGGACTGCATCGGGGATCCTGGAGCCTGGGACCCTGCAGCCACCCTTGGAGCGCAGTGAAAAACCCACCACCTGGGCCACAGGGCTGGAAAGTTGGGGTGAAAGATATCATGTCTCTGACTGGGGCTTGTGGGTGGAAATGGAGAAAGAAGCCTCCTGCTACACTGAACAGCTTCAGTGCGCTGTGCTCGCAGCAAAGGAGGGCTTGTCTGTGCAGGCTCTTTCCAGTGCTCCACCTGGAAACCTCAATTGAAGAAATCCAGCACCCACATCCCTAAGCGATTGTCAACTTCAAGTTCTTCCCAGTTGTGGCTCTGGAGTCATCCCCAGACAGACGGGCTGGCCAGGGTGCCCCACCTCAGTCTCTGCTGGTCCCCAGGTCCCAGGTCCAAGCAGGAATTTGAGGAGGGAAGAAGGGGCAATTATGCAGTGATTATGTCCCCGTGACTGTCAGCCAGGACCAGGCTGTTCCAAGAGTCCTGCTTGGAGCTGGCCTGAGAAGTCTGGGTGACAGGAGACGCATAGCCTTGTGGGGAGAGCTTCAGGGCCGAGAGGACCGGGTGGATGGAGGACCCGTGGCCGGACACAGTGCTGACGGAGAATGTCTGGAAGGCAGAGAGGATAGTGAGGCCAGTGGGCTGCTCCTGAGGGCTTGAGGACCAGCGCTGGGTAGGGGATAAGGACGAGCACACTCTAGCTGCTTCCCTGGGCCCTGGGGTCTGGCTGCAGGGGTCTGGGGGCCTCCCCAGCAGCTTCTGAGCATGGTGTAACCGGGGCCATCACCCAGGAGGTTTGCACCTGCTGTGGCTTCGCAGAAGACACTGGCAGCCACGGGAGATGCTATCCATAATCTTACTATCATCTCTAGCTCAACGAGGCCATCCTCTCCACCCTGAAGGGGTGCCTAGTACTCTTGGTTCTTTGGGATCAGCTTCTCCCAGGTTCACTCTGACAGTAAAAAGCTCGCCCAGCCTCTTGGAATTAGAGGCAGAAAAGAGATCAAAGTGGGGCCGGAAAAGAGAGATTGTGACATCCTGATTCCCAAAGAGGCAGAGAGATAGGGATGCCATCATATCTGCAAGAGGATGTGGGCTCCTGCTGGGCTGGCATGACTCAGGAAGCTGGAGCTCATGAAAACAGCCGCCTACCCGGCCGCCTCCTCACTTACGCTGTCCTCTGTAGTTTCCAAGCCTGTGCCATGTTAATAGGGACCTCTCGGTCTTCTGTGTAAACCTTCAAGGCCAAGATCAAAACACCCCAAACTCTCGAGCCCCTGCACTGCTTCCAACCCCAATACCCACAGTCTGACTCAGGGAGTGGTGCTATGCACACATCTTGGGGCAGCCCCTGGGCCCCTCTCATTTCCAGGGGAGCCACTAAACACTTGTGGTCCCATATGTGTCCAGGTCACTGCAGTTGGACCAATGATGCTGGGGACTCATACTCCAATGCTGGCCTGGCCACCAGGGCTCTAGCCCTGTCTACCTGGGACATGGAGCTGCTGTGTCCATAGTGAGATGACAGCCCGGGCTCTGTCTTGATGGGGCGCATCTCTTCGCTGCTGCTGCTGGCATTGCTGGGGTTGCTGGAGGTGCTGCTGGTGGGAGGGAGGCTCTCACTGCCAGGAGGACCTGCAAGGGGGCAGAGTCAGGGCACCCAGTCCAGGGGCAGGGACAAAGGCTGGGGAGAGAAGCAGGGATCCTTCCAGGCCAGGGCAGCAGTCCTCAAAATGGGGCAGAAACATCAGAATGCCAAGGGGCTTTCCTTTTTGTTTTGAGACAGGGCCTGGGTCTGACGTAGCCCAGGCTACTCTTGAACTCACTATGTAGCTGTGGATGGCACTGAGCTAATAATATTTCTGCCTCTCACATCCTGAGTGCTGGGATTACAAGTCTGTACCCCCATGGTGTCCCATTTATGTAGTACAGCAACTGAACACAGGGCTTCGTGCAGGCTAATTAAGCACTCCGCAACTGAGCTACAAACCCAGCCCCAAGGGGACTTTTCTTTTCCTTCTTTCTTTTGGTCTTTTTGAGACAGGGTCTCCCTGTAGCCCCAGCTGGCCTGAAACTCACTATGTAGAGCAGGCTGACCTTGAACTCACAGGGATCCACCTGCCTCTGCCTTCCGAGTGCTGGGATTAAAGGAGTGTACCACTACACCTGGCTCCTTTTTTTTTTCTTTTTTAATATTTTTATCGATTTTTGAGACTTTCGTATGATGTATTTTGCTTATATTCAGACCCCTCCCATCTCCAACCCCACCTTATATCCCTCCAATTTCATATCCTCTGTTACTATTGGGTTTTTTTTAGTTTTGTCTTTTTTAAGGCCTATCAAATCTAACTTGTGTTCCTCAAATGCTCTTGGGTATAGGCTCATTTCCTGGCGCCTAGTCAACCTACCCAGTGTCACACCAGTAAAGAAAACTGACTCCCTCTCTGGGCAGGGCTGGGCTATCAATAGCTATCAGTTCCTCAGGCAGGGCTGGAGCTTCTTGTCCACCTCCCAAGGGGACTTTGTCAAATGACTCACTGATCACCTCACTACTTTAGATCCCCAAATCCTTGACACCACATGTGTTTCAGGATTCCACACTTTTTCACTAGAGTTACAGCTGACTGTGAACTGCCATGGTTCTGGGAACCAAACCTGGGTCCTCTGCTAGAGCAGCTGGTGCTCTTAACCACTGAGCCATCTCCCTAGCCCTGTGACCCTTAATTAATCTAGAAGTCAAGAAGGCATTACGGGTTGTGGTAGCTTACACCTGTAATCCTAACATGCAGGAAGCTGATGCAGGAGGGTCATAGGTTCAAGGTTATTCTCAGCTACATAGCAATTATGAAGGCAGAGCAGTGTTGGAACACACTATTGACCCTGGAGTGTATATTCCAGATCTCACAGAACAGCCATGTCAATCCAAGCCATTGCCCTTGAGCCTCAGTTTGCCTATCAGAAAAATGGGCTAACAACTGCTTCTGTGGGGTCTTGAATGGATCCCTGAGATAGTATTTATGAAGGAGCTTGTAAAATACAAAGCACTACATGACATTATGCACCCTGATTACAGATCAGTCTGTACAGTAGATGGCTAGTGAGAACTTGTCCCACATACAGAATAGAAAGGGACGGAGTACTTGGGTGACCACAGCATCAGAGACGGAGCCAAGCAATGTTCCTTTCTTTTCAGGCCCTGCACTGGTCTAGGCATCCCACTGCAATAACAGTAATCAGAGCACCGTTTGAGTTGAGCCTGCTTCAAAGGTCCCCATGTGCTGCCCAGTGACGACTTCTCTGGGTTATTTGTACTGTCCCCAAGAGCAGAGGTGGACGAGGTTTCCATCACACCCTGGCAGCCTGGGCTGGCCACCTGCCCAAGCAGACACGGTTCTCACATATTTCTGGGGTTCCTGGTGTGTTCACTACTTACACACAGCTCCATCCCTCACCTGCTGCTGTCTTAGATTTATTCAGGTTCTTGGGCTTCCGTTTTCTGGTTTGAATCCCTTCCTTCCGCATTGCAAGAGGCCTGGGGACCTAAAAGATCATGAGTTAAATATATGGCTTTCCATTTCCATACATGTCTGCTACAGTATTCACACACACACACACACACACACACACACAATGTAATAAAAAAATTCAAAAAGAATGGGCAAGTAAATTCTAGCCTGAAGAGAAGACAAAGATTGCTGGTCAGAAATGGCGAGAGGTGCCTGGCTGGCAGAAGCTGAGGGTAGGAGAAGGGCGAAGGCAGGATGTGGGCAGGGCAGGGCACCCACTCACCCCATGAAGCTTCATGTAGAGGCCGCAGGCATTGCACACAGGCTCACCCTCGGCATTGCGGCGCCACAGCGTGGTGGTGGTCGTCTGGCAGTTGGCACAGGAGAGGCCCACCCGGCGTGAGGCTGACTACGACACAGAAAGCAAACGTTTCTTGTCTGGCAGGGTTGGGCTGCAATGGCTTTGTGTGAGTTTTTTGTGAGGTCAGTGACTCTGGTACCTACACCACTCCTAGGATGGGGAAGTATCCTCAGGTTTCCAGTCCTATGACTTGATATGACATGAATGACCTGAATCCTATCAACAAGGAAACTTCTCCCCAGAGTGGAGTTCCTGCTGGTTTCCGGTGTCTGGTGCTATTTTGGATGAGGAATTTAATGGGTCTCAGTATCTATCCCCTTTATCCCCTCTGTCCTCCCTTCCCCGCTATAAGCCTCCCTTCCCTGGTGAGCTGATGTTGGTCAAAGTCAGATGACCACAGATCCAGGAGGCAGACAACCTGGCTAGTTTCAGACCTCCCTGGCTGGGACCCAGCCCCCACTGCTTGAGCTTTGGATCTTACCAGCTGGTCAGCTGAAAATAAGAAAGCTTCTGGTTCACCTTGGCCTTCAAGACAAAGGGACTGGGAATCAGGTGGCCTGGATCTGCCTCCCTCTGCAGACCCAGTGGCTGTGGATGCCCTGATCCTCTCTGAGCTTCACTGTCCACTGCTGCGTGGTAATGGGGGTGGGGAACTAGTCTAGTGTCCTTGGAGCACAAGCTTACTCTAAAGGTGTGGCTACCACCTTGCTCCCGTCCACCAACCCCTCAGCCCACACCCTCTGATTCCCAAATTGAAAACTAAGCAAGTGCCTCAAAACCAGGTGAGAAAGAAGGTGTCTGTTCTCTGAGTTGGTGGGTCTGTCTGGGTCATGGAGGTACCCGCTTACCAGCCGGCGCTGAGGCTTAATGAGGGGCCGGTTGATGCCGTTCATCTTGTGGTAGAGGCCACAGGCATTGCACAGGTAGTGACCTGTCCCATCTCTCCTCCAGAGCGGGGTGGACATGGCTCCACAGTTGACACACTCTCTGCCTTCCGAGAAGTCGTCAAACATATCTACTGGGGGAGGAAACAGGAGAAAGGACCCAGGAGATTATGTCTTTGATATGCTCAGAAACCTTCCACCTAGAAAACAGGAACGGAGAAGGTCTCCCCAGGGCTCTGAAGTTCTCCTCAAGACTGCAGGGCAAGTGGGTTTCACGCCCTGTCATCCACACACAAGGGGACGCCTTTCAGTCAGATCTCCAGAGCCTGCAGGCCCAAGGTTCCCACCTGACCTCTCCACTGCTTTTTCTTCGTTTTCCCTTTAAAAATTACAATTGCGATATGGTTTGAATCGGAACTGTTCCACACAGGCTTGTGCTTTGAACTCCTGTTCCCACCACCTCCGCCGCTGGTGCTATTGGGAGGCTGTGGAACCAGGTAAGGAGGTGGGGCCTGGCTGGCAGCAAGTAGCTAGCTCAAGGTCCCCTGTTTCCACTCTGTCTTCCCCCTTCCTGGTCTGCTGTGTTCCCAGGAGCCCCCTCCACACTGTCACCTCCATCTACTCTGCCACGCCTCCCTCCCCTCCAAAACCATGAGCCAGAATAAATCTCTTCTCTGTTAAGCTGTTTCTTCAGGTATTATGATCACAGCAGCACAAAAGTAACTCATGGATTATTCCTCCGTTTGGATAAAAATACACTGTTTACATTAGGAGAATTAAGACTGGAATGTATAGAGAAATACAGATCATTAGCGGTTTTGTTTTGTTAAGTCCTTTGTGAGACTTTCTATGCTGACATATGTTTTGGCCTAGGTAAGGTCAAGCTGTGTAATCTTGAAACTATTTTGTTTTCTTTGCTTGAAGCCCAAGCATGTTGCCACATTAGAGATACATTATAAACTCATTTCAGTACAGTGTGACATTCCATCATGGAAACATGCCCTCTTTTCACTTGTCATTGCAACGACTTAATCTCTAGTTCTGATATTTGTTTTGTAAATACTGACCTCTTTGTACATAAATCTGTAAGTTTCCTGTTATTCCTCTGAATACTGCTATTTATATTCTTTAAAATTTTTGACTTTTTGTGCACTTCATACATCTTGATCATATTTAGAACCTCTCCCCTCTCTACACCCTCCCATTGTCCCTGCTGCCAGATTCCGTGCATTCCATCATATATGTTATGGCCTGTCAAGTCAAGCTTGTGTCCCCAAATGTCCCTTGGTGTGAGTCCATCCGCTCGAGCATGGTCAACCTATCTAGCATCACTCCAGTCTTTTTTGACTGATTCTCCCTCACCTAGCAGCGATCAGTTGCCAAGAGTTCTCAGCTAAGGTTGGGGCCTGCTGCCCATCCCCCCAGTTCTATGCTGGGTTTGCGTCTTGTTTGAGTTTTCCATGGGTTTTGTGCATGCTGTAAGTTCCTATGAGGGAGTTCCCAGCCACCTGGAAAACTCTGTTTCCTTGTGGTCACCCACCACCCCCGGCTCTTAAGTCTTTCTGCCCCTCTCCCACAATGGTCCCTGAGCCCTGGGTGGCAGAGGTTTAATACAGGAGTCCTATCCAGGGACATGCACTCTGCAGTCTCTTAGTCTCTACATTTTTGCTACTTACATTCTTGAATGTATCATTCACTCAGTTTTCCTACACATGACGGCTCTAATTGTCAGCTTGACAGAACCTAGAATCACCTGGGAAGGAGTGTCGATGGAGGACTGTCTACACTAGGGCGGGGGTTGTCTTAATTAAGCTAATTGACGTGGGAAGACCCAATCCAGTGTGGGCAGCATCATTCCCTAAGCAGGGGGTCCTGAACTATGTCAGGTGGAGAAATGGAGCTGAGCACAAGCAAGCACGCATGTGTGTGTTTCTCTCTGCTCCTGACTCTGGAAGTGATGTGAGGAGCCGTCTGGGTCCTGCTGCTGTGACTCCCGTGTACTGATGGACTGTGGCTGACGACTGGAATTATAAGCTGAAATAAATCCCTTTCTCCCCTAAATTGCTTTCTGTCAGGCTACTTTATCACAGCCACAGAAATGAAAGTAGGATACTGCTTTACTGTATCTGTACAATCTACTCTTATTGTGTGATATTTTCCTTGTGTATTAAGTGCACAAAATAGACTCCAACTACCAGTTGTCAGATCTTAGAGTTGATCAGATATGAGCATCAGCCTTCCACCAGAAGGCTACTGTCATCTGTCATCCTTTCACTCATTAACCCCTTCCTCTCTCTCTCCCATGTCTACAGAATTTGAAAACTGACAGATTACTTATGTCTCCACTCACTGTCTGGGTGACAGAGGTGGGGGTGGTTTTCTCATTACCCTGTGACCTATATAAAGCCTGGCTCAAAACTTCAGCAGTTTCTCTGACTCATGCCATCTAAGTGCTCTGTCCCTAATCACAGCCACCTTGGTTTCCAAACTGTTCTTGTCCTACTGCCAAAGGTTAAATTCTTCTCTGGGGGAGCCCACAGCACCTTCTGGAAGGCAGGGTTAAAGTACTCTCCCTCCTTTGGACCCCAGCCCTGGGTTTTAAGATAGCACATTTTGCTAGTTCTGTGGCTCAGTAACCAGCTCTAAGGGAATGTTGGCTGGAAGAGGATAGGGAACCCTCCCCACAACTCTGGGTACACAAACAGTCACTTGCACCTGCAAACAGGTAGCTGTGTGTCCGCACCAAGTAAACACTGTGCAGGTGTGAGAGGCTGTTTGCTCAGGCCAAGAAGCTAAGTGCAGTCGGCACAGAGAGGCTATTTTTACCCCTGGGTCATGCTGAGGGCCTTTCACCAAGGTCACCTGTCTCCAGAGGTGACTCTTGTCATGACTTGCTCCCTGCTGGACTGCGACCATCAGTACAACCGCCACCATCTCCGCAGGCCTTGCCTGTAATCTGTCAGCCCTGTACTTTCCATTCAAGTCCTTCCATGAGGACAGCAGAAGGGCCAGGAGTTCACAGAGGGACCTTACAACAGGCCACCAGCACCAGGCTAGCAATGGCCTTTTGTTTATGATGAACACTAGATGGCACTACAGCCTCAAAATTGAACAAGCCCACATGTTCTATCTTAGATCACACATGGGCTGGAGAACTTCGTAGATCGTCTTTCCAGCCCAAACCTGCTGCAATCTTTTTCTGTTTTTTTTTTTTTTGTCATGGAAAAAAAAAATTCAGATGAGGAAAGAATATAAACTCCTGTGTAACCATCAGCCAGCTTCCAACAACTTGTGAACCGTCCTGTCTCACCTGTACCTCTACCCGCTTTCCCCCATCTTGAACTGTGGGAGAAAATCCAAGATCCCTGGGTTGTCAGTTCAACCCTCAGTGGCTCAGTCTGTCTCTTCAACAGGAGAAGACTCACTCTTCCTTTAAAGATAAGAACACTGGCTGCTCTCCTAACTCTGGTTCATTTAAACTCTACAATGAAGAAAAAAGAACCCCATATTCTGTTTCTATGTGTGGGAGGGAAGAGTCCCTTTATCCTTCATAGTTAGTACATTACAGGGACAGACTCTGGTCAAGGGACCCAGTAGCCCTAGATAGGTTTTCTCTGCTTCCCGTCCCCTGCCCTGGGAACCCAACACAGAGTATACATTCCAGCAACTTTACCTGTCCAGGTAAAGTCACTGAACATTGGCAAACAGGTATTCGTGAAATTAAATATTTACCAAACATCTGTGATTGAAGCATACCAAAAGACGCCATAGGAGCGAAGCTGTTACCTTGATCTCAGAATGCTAATGATCTAGTTTAACAACCTGGACCAATTAATGAGTAACAGGATGACTCAGTCTTTTTTTTTGGAACATACCCTTAACTGAGTCTGGGATTGGTGACAGGCGCCGCTGCTCCAGAATAGGAAATATGGAAGTCCAGCCCAGATAGAAGGGTCAGTATAACCCTGAAGCCAGAAGCAGGAAGTGAAGAGTGTGTTTCCTCGAGAAGTCCAGCGATGCATACCCAAGTTCAAATTCCTCCACAAAATATTGCTATCCAGCTAGTTCAATGAAATGTTACATGAAAACTTGAAATAATCTTTTAAAAGGCAATGTAAATGCTGACTCTATCATGCAAATTGAAAGACAGAACATGCAAGATGCCCTATCGAGTGCAGTGGCCACAGAGACCACCAGAAAGCAGTCCACTGTGTGGACTTCTTTTCATGGAAGCATCGTTCCATAATGTCGTACTTACTAATGTTTAAATATCTGATTCTAAAAGAGAAGAAATTTGATCTCTCTCAGCCCTCCATGGGGAAGGGACAGTTTTACTCCCTTTTAAAAAATTTTTATTATTTTTATTTTATATGTATGAATATATTGCCTGCATGTATATAAGTGTACCTGTGTCATGCAATGCCCATGGAGGTCAGAAGAGGGCATCAGATCCTCTAGAACTGGAGATACGGATGATTGTTATCTGCCATGTGGTTGCTGGGAATTGAACCCAGGTCCTCTGTAAGAGCAGCCAGTGCTCTTAACCGCTGAGCCATCTCTCCAGCCTCCAATTTTACTCTCATATCTGATAACAGAAATAAATTCCCCTTGCCCCTTGGACTGGAGTATGGAAAGAATGCAGTCCATCCCTGCTGCTTAGCCCCTACTCTAGGGAAGGATAGGTGCCAGGCTGTGAGCCCTAAGCCCAAACTTTTTACTCCCCTCCCCTGCCCCGAAAACCCAACACAAAAGTTAGCCTGGGAAAGTCCAGATTATACATTTTAGCAACTGGCAAGAGCCTTCCCCCCACCCAGTACAGACACTAGTCCACACTGAGGAGCAGTGGGAGTCCAACCCTGGGGAGTGGGTCAGCAGCTCCCCACTTTGAAAAGACAGTCTTGTAATAATAGTTGTAAAGTACTTTGCAAATAAGAGGGGAAACTTACAACAACAGCTGGGGAGTGCTTTGCAAACATCCAATGAGATAACGGATGATGGATTATGGTTCAGAGGCTTGGGATGGAGGGGTGAGAGGGAAGGGAAAGACCAGGACAAACCTCGGTGCAGTTAGGGGGAAGGTGAGGACAGATGAAAGCTAGGAGATTTGGGAATCTGCCCCTTTTGCTAGCCATTG